TTTAAATTTGTAATTTTTTTGGATATTTCCCCCATTTGCGGGGAACGAGGGAATTTTTTTCAATTTTTAAGGGTAATGTCTTCAACTAGATACGATTTGTGATCTTTTGATGTATTTTTGAAAGAAATCGGTCCAGTGAGAGCTGAGAAAAAGTGGCAACAGACATAAAAAAAAAAAAAAAAAAACACATCATAGTAAAATTAATACCTTCTCCACTTCGCATCGAAGCTAAAATTTGTTTTCAAATTATTACTGATTTGATTTTTAATTTGTTTAAAATAATCAGTCCAAATTTTCATTTTTAACCTATTTTTGTGGTTCTTTAAAGTTGATGAAAAATTTTATTATTTTAGTATTTCCGGAACAGTTTCAAAAATTAAATTGAAAAAGTTAGTTTTTGTAAAAAAGTTGCTATTTTAAATCCCCCTTATAAGCAGAATAAGTGTTAGATTTTCAAAAAAAAAATGATATCAAACGAAAGGAAATTACCTAAGGTTTCAATATAAAAAAATATTATTTTGATTTGTCAATATTTGAAAAAGTAATTACAGTTTTAAGTACAAAAAACATCCTTATAGAAGGTGATTTTTATCGCAAATATTACATTTTTTTTTAAATTTTGACAGTAATTTGCACATAGTAGACAGGTCGTCAGAAAAAATTTTTTTTTTTTCATTTTATAGTATATAAAATAATCTTAAATTTATTATATGTTTAAAGGACGCAGTATTTCCGTAACACTTTCAAAAGTTAAGTTGAAAAAGTTCTATTTTTTATATAATATTTCAAGTTTTGAACGGCCCCTATATATGAGGAAATTGTCCAATTTTAATAAAAAGTATGTCAAATGAAAGATGTACTTATAATGTATTTAGAAAAAAAAAAAATTGTCCTGATACATGCATTTTTCGAAAAGTTATAGCATTTTTAAGTTGAAAATTTAAAATCGAAAATTTTAACACAAAATTAGCGTTTTTTTAACTACGGCAGCCGTTTACATGCAGAAGATAAATTGTCGGGACAAATTTTTTTTTTTTCATTTTGTAGTACATAAAATAAGCTTTAATTTGATTTATGTTTAAAGGACGCAGTATTTCCGGAACATTTTCAAAAATTAAGTTGAAAAAGTTAGTTTTTGTAAAAATGTTGCTATTTTAAATCCCCCTCAATGAGCAGGTTAAGTGTTAGATTTTCAATAAAATGATATCAAATGAAAGGGAAATATCTAAGGTTTTAGTATAAAAAAAATTATGTTGATTTGTTTATTTTTGAAAATGTTATGGAAGTTTTAAGAAAAAAAAGTAAAAAAAAGACAAAATTTACTGATTTTTAAATTTAGAACTTTCAAAAGTTTTATATATTGTGTATTTTTCTTATGAATAGCCTTAAATGTGCCGAACAAAGTGAAGAAGCGTTTTATTGTGATTAGAATTAATTAGTCTTAGTAGTAGTGGGGGTGAAGTTTCCGCTTTAGGACTCCATGACTTATCTGGGCCTAGTCGTAGACAAACGTCTAATGATCGGTCTGTACTTTACCCGTGTGGCCCAGCGGACCCCGAAAATTATAAACAGTCTGGTGGAAGTCATGTCCAATCTGAGAGGGCCGAGGGAGATGCGGCACACACTCTTAGTCAACGTCATACACACAGTCCTCCTATACCTGTCCCCGGTTTGGACGGATATTCTTAAGTAGTCGCCCAAGAACCGAAAAGTATTTTCTCTTTTTTTGTCAATTACTACTATTTCCATATACCACATTGCCCACTAAAAATTATTCTTATTCTATTAGGTTTATTTTATTTTATTTTTGATTTATTACATAAGGTATAATAATAAAGTCGATAGACCACTTTTTATTAATTTTTTTAGACTTTATAGGATACAAAAACCCGCCTATTTGGGTATTTATTTAATAAATACCCGTATTATATATATTTATATTGTTAATAATAAAAACCCTAAATTAATGAAAATAAAAGTTACAAACAACCCACAATATTATTCACATTATATATTAATATGATATTCTAAATCCTTATTTTCCAAATTAAATAACCATATTTTTGAACAAATATTTTATTTATTTTTTAAACCTGAACTCTAAATTCGTTTAAATAAATCAAGTGCAAAGTTTAATTTTTTCTTGTTTCTCAAATCACTCTACTTCATGGTTATTAATCAAAAAAAAAATGTAAAATATAGTTTTAAATAATTGATATTATCAGCTATTGAAATCTGTTCGTAAATTTTGTTTTAGATTTACATTATTGTTTTTTCTTCATAATAATCAAAAAGGTTACTGATAATAAAATAAAATTGGGTTTTATCCACAATAACTTACTATATTATAAGTGCATATAATCCATCTATCAAACAACAATTTACCGGACCATCCAGAGTATATTGCAAACCATAGTTGTAATGTGTAGAAACATACTGTTTTATAATAACAATAATAAATCATTTTACACACTCTATCATGATTCCATGCTCCATGAACAAATATTAGTTTAGATAAATATTTGAACTGTTAAACAAAATAGTTTAAAATGTCTTTAAAAGGAATAGTTTAATTTAAAAAATACATTTTGATGAAATAATTTTTTTGATTTACTTGTGCTATTGAATAGTCAGCAGCACTAGATGCTTGATAACCTTCTAGTCCTGAAATTCCTACACCTATATTTGCTTTTTGTATCATAGGAACGTCACTAGAACCGTCACCTACTGCCAAAGTTACATCGTTAGTGGCTTTTGTTACAAGTTCAACCAACTACAATTTATCAAAGTTTTATTACAATATATCATATTACTATATATTATTTTATATCTAGCACGGTTTTATATCAATATATAAAAAACCCAGCACAGGGGGGTCGTGGCACAGTGGTGACGTGGTATAGATGGATCAAGTATAATGATATCTGACAGTGATTAAAATCACTATAAAAAAAAAACGCTTCGATGCAAATCTTTAGATACTGTTTAATTTTAAAAAATTGGTGGACTATTCCAAAAGCTACATTATCTGCTAGTTCATTATTAATATCCTAATTAAGATAAAGTATGTAGTAAATTTTTTGTGAAAAAGTGGTCATTTTAAATACCCCCCTGTGAGCAGGTTAAGGGTCAGATATAAAAAAAATATATACCAAATGATAGGTAAAGACATCATGCATCTATAAAAAAAAATTTATATTGATCCATACATCTTTCAAAAAGTTATAGCATTATAAAGTTAAAAATATAAAAATGAATTTTTTTACAAAAATCGTATTTTTTTTATAAACTTTGATGTCTGTTTTCACCATGAAGATAAAATAAAGTCCGAAATTTTTTTTTTTGCATAATAAAGTATATTACATTAGCTTTAATTTAAGATATATATAAAAGTGTCAGACTTTCCGGAACATTTTCAAAAGTTAAGTTGAAAAAGTTAATTTTTTTTGAAAAAGTTGTCATTTTAAATCCCTCCTTGTGGGCAGGTTAAGGGTTAAATTTATGAAAAAAATATACCAAACGAAAGGTAATGATATTACACATCTATATTAAAAAGGATTATATTGATATGTTCATTTTTGAAAAAGTTATGGCACTTTTAAGTAAAAAAAATTGAAAAAATTGAAAAAATTAGCGATTTTTAAATTTGTAATTTTTTTGGAGGTTTCCCCCATTTACGGGGAACGAGGGAATTTTTTCAATTTTTGAGGGTAATGTCTTCGACTAGATACAATTTGTGATCTTTTGACGTATCATTGAAAGAAATTGGTTCGGTAAATGGAAACGGAAATTCTGTTTGAATGTATTTCATGTAAAATTTTCCTAGGACAGGATTCAATATTTAATGTCCAAATGCCTCCTAGGAAAATTTTAACTGCGCCTATAATATAGAATAAAAGCATGTTTTTTTAGTGTAATATAAAAAAAAATAACAATTTATCCAACTCAATATTAGAAATTATAACCAAACAGCTATATTTAATTTTGCATATATTTGGGGATCTAAATCTACGATCATTTACGTATTCGAGACTTCATCTAGAAGACGATATTATGTAGGTCAATCCTCTTTCACTAAAAAGAAATGAATATATCTAGAGGTGATAATCACCCTCTACACATAAATATAATTGTTTACAAATCTTCTTGAATATAATTCTTAAAACCTTAAACAACTTATTAAACTTGCAAAATTTTAACATTATAATAACAAAAAAAAATTATTGTTTCAACTGTTATTTAAACAAATTGAAACATTAATTTTAATACAACAAAAAACTGTTTAAAACAAAAATTCCATTTTTTTTTTTTTTATATTTTTAGTTGTGAGAATAAGATAAATTATTGTCCATGAATAAAAATTACAAACCATTCATAAAAAAAAAATCATAAACAACTATTTAAATAAACTTTCTTAAGAAATACTTTTTTTACATTCTATCAAGAATTATTTAAAATATAATTAAAAACAATTCATCATACCTCAGCTTTTTGCGATGGAGTTAGCCTGCAGCAAATTAATGTTTTACAGCTAATACTTAACTTTAGAAAATCTCTTTTAATCTCTCCCGATAGAACAAATGCTAAAGATTGTCCATCAATTACAAGAGTGAAGGGATGATTTCGATTATTGAGAGTTGGTCCTAATTGTCTAATATAACTGTGAATTGATTTTTTACAAGCCTTAAAAAATAAAAATTCATTTGATAATTATACATTTATTTTTATTACTATCATATTTTTAGATTTTGGACTTTGGTGTTGACATGTATTAGTAAAAAAAAAAATTAAATTCAGAATTTGATTTTATCCTCAATCTCTCACTAAAATATGTAGTGTTGTTTTGGGGAGTACAAAATGTATATACAAATATAATTAAAAAAGTGATTCAATGCAAATCTGTAGACTGTATTTAATTTTTGATAGGACTATTAAATTATTCCAAAAGTAATATGAACACTTATTTTCTTAATTATATACTGATTAAAAGTTTTATAAGTATAATGTAAGTATAATACATGGTTAAGTACTTATTAAAATAATTAAAATTTAGTATAAAATTGATATTTAATAATATAGTATTGTAATTTTTATTGAGAAATTAAAAAATATATAAAATTGTAGAAAAACAGGTTGATTTTTTTAATACTAGCCACTCAAACTCTTTTAAAATATTTATTTTAGAAAATTATTTTTAGCATTTTTTAATCCTAAATATTTTTTAACTTTTATCTTTGATGCAAAGTTGACGGGGTATTAATTTTACCATGATGTGTTTTTTTTTATTATTATATAATTTGTTTTTTTTGTGTATGTGTCTGTCACTATTTTTTATCAGATCTCACTGGACCGATTTTTCTCAACGATACGTCAAAAGATCACAAACGTATCTAGTTGAAAACATTACCCTCAACATTTTTTAATTTTCCCCTTGTTCACCGTAAATGTTGGAAATCCCCCCAAATATTACAATTTTTAAAATCGGTAAATTTCGACATTTTATCACTTTTTTCTAAAAATTACCATTACATATTGAAAAAATGAACAAATCAAAATAATTATTTTTTATATTGAAATCTTAAATAATTCGCTTTTATTTTATATAAATTTTTGAAAATATGAACCTTTAACTGCCCACAGGACGGAATTCAAAACAGTAACTTGTTCAACATAACTTTTAAAAATGTTCCGGAAATACTGAGTCCTTAAAACAAATGTGCAAATTAAATTTATGTTACGTACAATAAATTTAAAAAAATATTGTCCCGACGATCTATATTCTTATGCAAATGGCTGCAAAAAAACATGCTATTTTTGTATACAAATTTAATTTTTTTTTGTTTATTTTAAAATACCTTATAAGGATTTGCAATAGTAATGAGTTCGCCTATAAATATAAAATTTACATGAATCTAACTTACATTAAATATAAATTTATACTTATTTTGGTTATTTTGCCTCTTCAATGTTAAGAAAAGCTTTTTTGAATTTTTAAAAACTTGAAAATTTGTTTTAAAAGTAGAACTTTTTCAACTTAACTTTTGAAAATATTCCGTCTTTTAAATATATGTTAAAATAAAGCATATTTTATGTAATGTGGCTACTAAAAGAATAATTGTATTTAAATACTTCAATGTATAATAAACCATTGGATGCTAAAACATTTTTCTTGGAAAGGCCAGTCCCCTTTCTTTTAATATACACATTTGATTGAAATTAATTAAACATTTTATTTGTGAAAATATTTATAACTAACTCTTAAATCAATTAATTTTTTTTGTAAAATGGGATAAATAAGGTACTAATCTCTTCCTTCCTTTACGACTATACTACTTAAATTTTTATTCAAAAGAAACTATTGAATCTCCTTACTGAACAGTTGAAACGTCAAATTTCCAATAAAAATAAAACCAAGTAATAAGAAAATGCCTAGGTTATTTATAAAAAAAAAAAATGTTTTAATTCATTAATTTTTAAAATAATCATGATAATTTTAAATGAAAAAAAAATCAAAATTTTTCGATTAAAAAATTTTAAATTCTTGGGATTCCCCTCACTTATAAGGAACAAGGGATTTTTTTTCAATTTTTAAGGTTAATGTTTTCGATTACATACGATTCGTGATTTATTGCTATATTGTTCAATAAAATTGATTCAGTTAGACTTGACAAAATTAGTCAGAAATACATAAAGATAATATCTTTTTAAAAATGAATACCTTCTCAGCTATGAATTGAACTACTTAAAAGTTTTTTACGAAACACATTAACAAATAAATGTTAACCTATGATATTTTTCACATTTTGTAATTCATTTTTTAAGAATAAGAAAAAGTCAGGTCAAATTTAGTAACCAAAAGAAAAATTATTAAACTAGCTCTACATTCCGTCTTCTTTTTCTTTTTTTCCTTCGCCTTAATTCTAACTACTTGGGGTCGGCCAACCTTATCCTTAACTTCCACTTGACAAGATTACCCTCATCATCTACGCTCACATCAGACGTCGTCATATCACATTCAATTACATCCCTTCTATTCTCTTTCTTGGTCTTCTTTATTTCCTATTCCTTCAACATTCATTTTTATAACTGCTCGTACAGCTTTCGATTCCTCTCTCCTTATAATATGACCATACCATCTAAATCTATTTTCTCTTAATTTATTTACGATTGATGCTACACTTATACTCCCTCTTATATATTTGTTCTTTATCATATCTTCTCTAGTCACTCCACTCATCCATCTAAGCATTCTCAACTCCGCTACACTCATTCTCTAATCTACTTTCTTGTCAACCGGCTAACACTCTGAACGATACATCATAGCTGGTCTCACTACAGTCATATGAAATTTACCTTTCAGCCTCATTGGAATTTTTTTATCGCATAAGACACCAGACGATTCTCTCTACATTAACCACCCACACTTAAACGTGTATCTTATATCCTCATCAATAACACCGCTCCTTTGCATAACTGACCCTAAATACTTAAAACTCTCTACCTCTCCTATCACGTTCTCAGCTATTGTCACTGACCTCCTCATTTCAACTACCTCGTGTTCTCCTATGTCAAACTCGTACTGTATATACTTTGTCTTACTCCTACTTATTATTAAACCCTTTTCTTCAAGAGCTGATCTCCACGCCTCTAGCCTTTGATTTATTTTCTCCTATTAACACTATATTGTCAGCAAACATCATGCACCACGACACCTCTCCTTGTATTTCACTAGTAATTTCATCCATCACTATAGAAAATAAGTAAGAGCTTAAAGCAGAATCTTGGTGCACTCCTACTCTTACCCTAAAACCTTCTGTTACTACTCCCACACTTTTTACCCTAGTAAAGTTCCATCATACATATCCTCTACTATATTAATGTACCTATTTTTTTTGGGACTACTTTTCTCATTAATACCCACTTAAAACCTCTCTTGGTACTCTATCATACACTTTTTCCAAATCTATAAATACTATACAAAGCTTTTTTTTCTTTTCCCTATACTGTTTTATTAGTTGTCTTACACAAAAACTAACTCCATTGTTGACTTCTTTGGCAAAAACACAACCTGGTTCTTTATTATTGATGTTTCAGTAGAAACTGGCACTTTATCTGGTCTTACTGCTTTATTCTTTTCACTGATGCCACAGCCTCCCATACCTCTTATTCACTAATTAAATCTCTAGTCCCTCGTTCTACGAGATATCCTCTAATGTTTATTTTGGATATTCCTCATTCAGTAATTTTTAAAAATACTTTTTCCATCTTTATTCAGATCATCATCTCACGACGTTAGCTTTCTCTTGTTATTACTTTTTATACATCTTACATTGTTATAATTTTTAGATTATTTTTCTCTTACTCTTGCAAGTCTGTAGATTTCTTTCTCGCCTTCCTTTGTTCCTAGCTTAACATACAACTCATCATACCACTTAAACTTCGCCTTACTTACTGCACACTTCGTTTCTTTGCACAAGTGTTTATACTCCATCCAATATTTTAATATTTTCTCCTTTTGCTCTTCTGCCATACTTTCAATTGCTTTTTCTTACTTTCTATGATTTTTTGAACATCCTCATCCCACTACTAGGTTTCCTTATTTCCTGGCATTCTACTCCTATTCTCACCCACAATCTCCTTTGCAGTATTCTTTACACAACTAACAAATTTATTCTACATATCATTTATGTCTCCGTCAACATTTCACACCACCCTCTCATTGCCAGATCTTCCTTGCATCACCTTATACATCTCTCTCCAAAACACTTCGTTGTCTATTTCATCACATTCTACTTGTGGTGCATAGGCACTTATTACTTAACATATTACATATAACACTTTTCCCTCGAAAATTAATTTTACGACAATAATTATGTCATTTTTCCTAGCCACTTCTACTACTTTACTTTTCATCTCCTCATCTATTATTGTCCCTACACCATTCTTTGTATTATACTTACCTGAGTATATTATTCTATAAACCTCACCTATTTCCCTTGCTTTCTCTCCCTTCCAGTTAGTTTCCTGCACCCAATAAATGTTCATTTTTCTCATCTTAAATAATTCTACTAATTCTCTACTTCTACCAGTTAATGATAACCCTGCACCGTTGACACTACAAGCGTTGGGTAGACCTGTACACATCACCGTTGAAATAGTTACCGCACAAGTTGTTCGGCTGATACAAATATTTTACTCCTTAGGTCTTCTCCGTTTTTAACTACTTTATTTCCTCTCACTTGTTATCTCCGCGTACATCCGAGCTGGGACAATCTGTCGAAGTTTTATTCAGGAATCCTAAAACCTTTTGACGAAAAATTTTCACCGGCTGTCAACCTCGGTTGACGCAACATTATTAGTCGCCTCTTACGACTGGTAGAGGGGCTGTGAAAGTATTATCCCCTATTCACAAGGAGTTAGTACTACCTTCTATGCGATACTTATAAAGTTTCATACTGTGTAATTTGATTCATTTATAACAATCAATGGAACTCCTTTTTTTATAATGTTGGTTGATATTCCAATATTGATTGCCGTTTCTTGTTTATCACCAGTTAGCATCCATATATTAATATTAGCATCCAAAAAAGCTTGAATCGTCTCTGGAACCTTCATGAAATATTAAAAATTAATTTAGATAATTTAATTCAATTTATTTTTTTTAAGATTGCAAAACATTTTGGGTATTAGCTTTTCCCTATAAAATATTTTTGGAAAACCCACTTTAGTGGTCTACCGCTAACTAATCTACACTAAATCCAGTCCATTATAATTGGCCGATTAAAAATCATAATAATCATAACTTTTATAAATATCAACAATTATAATATCAAAAATAAATCACGTTGTCTTGTAGTTTATCCTCGACAGCAGTAGCTCCTGTTAATATAAGGTCTTTTTCAATTTTTGCCGCTATTTTATCTTGAGCTTCTTCACGATTTTGTATAATAGTAGAGGTTTTAAGGTAATCAGATTTCCATTTCTCATAATAAATTTCAGAAATATCGGCATATCCATAACATAAAGTTCGGAATCCTGCACAGGCAAATTCTTTTAAATGAATCTTAGTCATGATTTCATATTTTTTGCCTATATCTGATAAAAGTTTTAACATTTCTGAATCAGCTCCCTAAAACATTAAATATTAAAAACACTTTAATAAAATTGTAGTATTCAATTAAAGAACTTACCTTGCAATAAAGTTTTATTTTGGAATCAGCAGAGCGCACAATTACTGACATTCTTTTTCTAGCGCTGGTAAATTTAAGAATACTCAAAATTTCATATTTTTCTTCAATACCATTTGCTGTTATAGTGATCGATTTTGGAGAACGAGTTTGAAATATATAACCAAAAAGTTTCGATCCGTTCAATAATGCTTGTTCATCTAATTATCATTAAATTATTTAGCATATTGTTAATATTAAAATAAAAGTGAATTTTTTTTGCAATTAAATTAAATATAATTTTTAAATAATTAATTTTAATAATTTACTAAAGAAACTATAAAATTATTGAAGGTACATATTATAAATACATAATAGAGTATTCAGTAAGTAAGGAAAGGAGTTTCTATTGTTCTTATTGCTTATAACAATTGACTTGTTTCTTTGCTTACTGAACACTCTGTATAATTTAATGATACCATTAATTAATTTAATTAATAATAAAGTACTATTAAATAGTTATTCGCGAATTTGGACTCGAGTTATAATGAAGTGCGGTACAATAACTTTAGATTAAAATTGTTCATTTCTGAGCTCCTTTTATGTCTAAATTGTAAATGTCTCTTCATCTACTAATTTAAAATGTTCTTACTACTAGTTATTATCAATATAAATTCTATTGATTGCAAGCTACCGAAAGAATTCCAGTAGTTTACACTACCAGATTATTGAGTGAAATTTAGCATGAACAAAATTAATTTTTCCTTCAGACCGTCCATAGAAATGGCTATACCTCATGTATCCACTACTTTAGTCAAATAATAACTTTCTATTACCTGAAGATGATGTGTAGTATAATATTTCATTATCATTTCTTTTTTCTGGTATTGCAGTGTGACAAATAGCTAATGTTCTTAAAAATTCAATGATATCGTCTTTTGTTCTTTGTTGATTAACCATATCCTATATATTTTTTATGAATCTTATTAAAAAAATTAAATTACATTTTTTCATTCTTGTAAAAATATTCTTTTAAAGGCTATTTGAAAAACGATAATTTATAAACTAATAAGATAATAAAAATGACTGACAGCGAGTAAAACTTCCCTTTAAATATTGAAACCACTCACGTGAGCTGTAGAATAACTTTTTTCACTAATCACAATTTTGTACATCAGCATCTAATAAAACCGTTAACGAAATAAAAAACCTATTTTTTATCATAACTTTCTAGTACACTCAAAGACCCGTTAGTGTGCTTTGAAATATTTCAATAACAATAAAAAGCTTGATTATTTTAATTTGTAAAAAATAAACATTACTTTTATTATTTTATTATTAAAGCCGCTATCATAATTGACTATTAGTCAGTGGTATATCCAAAGATGCGTTTAAATAACTTTGCCCTCCCCATTAACCATACTACAACTACCTTATACCTATAATATCGTAAAAAAAAAATACCAAACAATTTTTTGTTTTAAGCCTCCTATTGCAAAATTTTGGGTATGTCACTGATTGAAGAAAAATTTCATAAACCGCGGTGAAATGGTTACGGGTTAAATTTTATATCACATCTAAAATAAATAAAAGTATAGCCTGGAAATTTTGCTCTACCTCCTTTCTTAATTCAGGTCAATCCTAACACTTTTAAACTACTTATCAAAATTAGACAATAATTATTAAACTAAAGCTTACATAATTTAAAGTGTTCCATGACCTTTCATTATAAAGTTTTCCAGCAATTGAACAAAATTTCAACTCCATAATATTCTTAGTCAGACTACCAGTTTTATCAGAAAAAATGTATTTCACCTTTAGTTTAAATAGACACATTTATANTTCAACTCCATAATATTCTTAGTCAGACTACCAGTTTTATCAGAAAAAATGTATTTCACCTTTAGTTTAAATAAACACATTTATAGTCTTAAAATTTATCATGACATTAACGATTAAATAATTTTGTTGACATTTTTAAATATTAACTATATACCTGTCCTAATTCGTCGTTAAGATTTGGAGATTTAACTAGGGCGGGTGTATCCGTTTCTTCGTGATACATGTCTAGATCATTATCAATAAACCATGCCTTAATAAATTATATAACATATTAAGTGATTTGTATAATTTTCAAAACATAAGATAACAATAAAATAAATATATTTTTATTTAAATACCTCAATCCAACGAACAATTTCGATGTACACTCTAAGTGATATTGGGATAGAATTGTGAAATATAATGAAATATGTAATTGTTTGAAATAAAAAGAATTTAGGGGATATTCCTAAAATAAAAAGATGTGATTACTAAAAATAATATTAGTATATAAATTATTTAATACACTAATATATAATTAGACTTCAAATTTAAGTGTTGTAAGTAAGGTTAGAAAACTATTTAGGAAACCTTAATATTTATTAATATTAAGAGTTATTTTTTGATTTAATTTGGCAATAATCAAAACAATATAACTTAAACTTTGTTTATATAAAGATAATTTTAATTTATCAAACATTAGCTAGATATAACTAGCTATAGCAATTAATATATATATATATATATTCTGCTATATTTTCAAACATGATAATATTTTTGTTAATTCGTTGATCATAATACATATCAGAGCGTTTTAAAACAGTGTTTTTAATCACTGTCAAATATTAATAATTGATAATCTACAAAAAATACTTAAACTCCACTATGCTATATCCCGACTGTAATTATATGTTTTCTTATTATTTCTAAAATTAAAAATGCAATAATCGTTGAAAGTGCATTGCAAATTTTAGGTATGTATAAATATATTTGATGAGGTCAATCCCCTTTAAATTTTACTCAGTTTGCGACAATATCAATTACCCATTTTATAAAAGTTAATTGTAATGAGTTTCATACATCATTAACACATTGACGGACATTTATAATTTTGGTAATTATTTCAACGTAATGTCGCAATCGAATTTCCTCTAACATTGATACCATTGAAAATATTAATGCTATATTTGTAATGCCGTAACATGAATTTTTTCATACTACTACTATAACAGTAATGTCACCTTACATTAATATATCATTTTACTGCTATCAATATAATATCTGTCAATGTTTTAATTAGATTAGGATCATGATAATAAGGAAAAATTTTAAATAGTTTTTAGGAACAGATATTTTACGAGGCTAGCCAAATGTGCAAAATATTTTTTCGAACTTACTGATGGAGCGAATCTGGACATTTTGCCCCATTTTTATTAAACTCGAGTAACAACATTTTTTAATGATAGTTTAATGAAAAATCATGTGATATAAATAATTTTTATTTCAACTAAAACCCAATAAATTATTTCGAAAAATAAAACGAATTTTTATCTAAAAAAACGATAGCACAGTAGAGTCGAGGCACAGTGTAAACATAGCATAGTTAGGTCCAGTATAGATTTAATCTGACAGTGATTAAAATCACCGTCATAAGAATCGCTTCGATGCAAATCTGTAGATAATGCTTAATTTTAAAAAAATGATGGATTATTCAAAAAACAAATGAACTCTTATTTCCTTATTTATATCCTAATTAGTAGTTCTTTGATTTTATAATATAATATATAAATAAATCCTAAATATAGTTTGACACGGTACCGTGTTTCCCTCAGCCGCACATCACGTTATCAACCTATATGAAAGTGTATCGGGATCTGAATCATAAGTGCACGGTGGCCTAGTGGTAAGGTTTGTCTTTACGACGCCTTGGGTCGCGGGTTCTAATCCCGTACCGTGCCTCTTTTTTCACATGATTTCCGGTACACTTTCTATAACCGGCCGTCAATCCCCGGCGGCCGTGTTAAGTTATTAAATTTAGTATAAAATTGATATTTAATAATTTAGTATTGTGATGTTTATGGAGAAATTATTAAAAAATATTAAGTATATATTACTTTTATAGCAAACATGTATAAAAGTTAAATAACAAATGCAATACTTAAAAAAAAAATTTTTTTGTAACTTATGAATAAATTTATTGGTGAATAAAGAATTTTCCTCAGAGATCAAAATATACTTTTCTAAACCCATTTTTGCGACTATTTCAAATCTGCAATTAAAGTTTTGCATATTGACTAAATAATAACAAAATCCTTCTTATTAATATAACAAATATTAATGTTTAATTATTATGTTAAGTATAAATAATCAATAAATACATTTTCATTTAAAAAATACATAACAATCATAATGTATTATGTGCAGTAAATCAATACGAATAATTATTTAAACACCAAGAGTTGCATAGAAATGCTTACTAAGACTTCTATTTAAATGATTTATTACAATAAAAATACAATAAAACGTTTTTATCGAAATTTTGTGTTTTCTTTATAAATTCACTGTTGATATTAATTATATAACTTTCTGATCACTCATCATTTTTCTTTACTTTGAGGTGGAAAAGTAATTAAAATAAGTTTAAATTTATATTTAATGTAAGTTAGATTTATGTAATTTTATAAACATTGGTGTACTCAGTACTATTGCTTACCCTTGTAAGGTATTTAAAAATAAACCAAAAAAAAAATGTGAACACAAAAATATCATGTTTTTTAAATACGGCAGCCCTTTGTACCCAGAAGATGAGTCGACGGGACAAATATTATTTTTTAATTTATAGTATGTAATATAGCTTTAATTTAAGATATTTATAAAAGTGTCAGTATTTCCGGAACATTTTTAAAAGTTAATTTGAAAAAGTTGTCATTCTGAATCCCTCCTTATGGACAGGACTAGGGTCAAATTTATAAAAAAAAATCAAATGAAAAGGAAATGTCTTAGGTTTCAATTAAAAAAAAACCCAGCACTGTGGGATCGCGACACAGTGTGGACGTGTCATATTTGGGTTCATTATAGATTTAATCTGACAGTGATTAAAATCACTATCATAAGAAACGCTTCGATGCAAATCTGTAGATAGTGTTTAATTCTAAGAAATTGATGGATAATTATAAAAGCAACATCAATTATTTCCTTAATTATATCCAGATTAGTAATTCTTAGATTTAAAAATATGATATAAAATTACATATTATATAATTTTTATAAATAATTCTTTTCAAATTATTATTGATTTTGATTTTTAATATGTTAAAAGTAATAATTTCTAACACCCTTTTTTTGTCCTTTAAAGTTAAAGTTAATAATAAAAAACCCAGCCCAGGAGGGACGCGGCACAGTGTTGACGTAGCATAGTTGGATCAAGTATAATGATATCTGACAGTTATTAAAATCACAATAAAAAAAAAAAATGCTTCGATGCAAATCTTTAGATAATGTATAATTTTAAAAAATTGATGTATTATTACAAAAGCTACATGATCTGCTATTTCCTTATTAATATCCTGAATGAAAAATGGATTATTAAAAAATAATATTTCACATAAAAAAATTGTGTTGATACAATAAGTTACAGCATTATAAAGTAAAAAATGTAAAATATAATATCGAGAATTTTCAGACAAAAATAGCATTCAGTAGCCATTTTCACCACGAAGACCAGTCCAGAGGTCAAATTTTTTTTTTTTCATAATAAAGTACATTACATTAGCTTTAATTTAAGATATATATAAAAGTGTCTTTCCGGAACATTTTCAAAAGTTAAGTTGAAAAAGTTCTACTTTCTATATGCATTTTTATGTTTTGAACCCCCCTTGTATTAAGGGAAATGGTCCGATTAAAAAAAAAAGTATGTCGAATGAAAGATGTATATAAATACTACTTTTTATTTTACTGGTCAGGTTAAGTGTCAGATTTACAAAAAAAGTATACCAAATGATAGATAAAGACATCAAACATCTCTAAAAAAAAAAATTATATTGATATGTCCATTTTTGAAAAAGTTATGGCAGTTTTAAGTAAAAAAAAATTTAAAAAATTTCGAAAATTAGCGATTTTTAAAATTGTAATATTTTTGGAGGTTTCTCCCATTTACGGGGAACGAGGGAAATTTTTTCAATTTTTAAGGGTAATGTCTTCGACTAGATACGATTTGTGATCTTTTGACGCATCGTTGAAAGAAATCCGTTCGGTGAGAGCTAAATAAAAGTGGCAAGACACAAAAAAAAATAAAAACACATCATAGTAAAACCAACACCTTCTCAGCTTCGAATTGAAGCTAAAATTAATAAATTAAAAAATAAAGTAATTTACTTTTATAGTTGAATACTTTTATCATATCAAATCTAATTCGACAATAAATACTTTTTATTTCAATGAGGAACATTTTTCAATTTTTAAGGGTAATATCTTCAACTAAATATGAATTGTAATCATTTGACGTATCGTTTAAAATGTAGGTCTAGTGTGGGTTGGCAAAATAAATCGTAGCCACAAAAAAAATCACATAGTAAAATAAAATTAACATGAATAAGAAATATCTTCTCGTGAGGGGAGACTACAATGATGGGATCTTGATATTTATTGAAGTTAATGAATCTAAATGAGATAAAAATCAAATAATCTGAAAATATTTTCTAACCCAAAATAAATACTAAATATTAATTGACACAGGCGGATTCGAACCTGTTTTTTTAAGCGTGAATGACATAAGTGTTACCGATTCAGGAACTGTTTGTCGCTTTCGTCGCATGATAAAATTAGCAATTCAAAGTTTTCAGAAAAAAAAGTAAAAAAAAAGACAAAATTTACTGATTTTTAAAATTGTAATTTTTTTAGAGATTTCCCCCATTTACGGGAAATTAATGAATTTTTTTCAACTTTTGAGGATAATGTCTTTGACTAGATACGATTTGTGATCTTTTGACGTATCATTAAAAGATATCGGTTCAATGAAAGCTGAGTAACAGTCACAAAAAAAAAAAATACATCATAGTAAAACCAGTAACTTTTCAGCTTCGCATCGAAGCTAAAAAATAAAATTGTTAAGATTAATATGAAGTCAGCAAATTTTATAATTAATATTTACAGTAAATTTATCAGAAAAGCTTTAGCCGCGAAATAAGCAGTCCATTCGTTTGGACTGACGAATAAGCGGTCGCGGACAATGAGCCCCTCGTTCGCTCGTTAACCCTGCAGATATGCAGGGTAGCCGTGATATAAGCTACTCTCAAAGTGGACAAATAAGCGGTAGCGATCGAGGGAAACTTTATAACGGCGCGGGTGGGCCCGATAGCCTGGTAAGGCAACCACCTAGGTCAAGGCAACACCGAAAACAAATCCCCTGGCGGTAGGTAATACGCAGGGAAGGACACCCGTAAAACCAAATATGGAAGTACACCATAATAAAAATACAGTTACTACTCCAGGAGTTTCGGAGACTCCAGGACCGGCAGGGAAGAGTGTAGTTGCAGGCTCGAAGGAGGTTATGCGGCCTTGCCGTAAGAAGTAGCACGATCCGGCGGATGAGGCTACTACCACGTCGGCTATGTTTGAAAGAGTAGTCGAGCAAGTGTCGGTGCTACGAGGAGTTATCGACAAACGTCGAGGAATGGGTGTGCACAAGGAGGTCTAAACTGCCACGAAGTGGCTAGAGAAGATCCTGGACGAGGAAAAACGCAGAAAAGCGTCTCCGCAGCTCAGGATCCGCTAGGAAGCCTCACTTGAGATGGGAGCCGAGTCACGGGCGCTGGAAGGAGCGTTTCCGAAATCGGCAACGCAAACCGATCACATGGTTAGCGTTGACGACCCGGGCATGGAGCCCGTCGTCGTACTAGCTACACCATGTGTGAGTGCTCCACCCATCGTCCCGCCAACCACCGCTAAGATGTTCAAGCGGGCTAGGAAAAGACGCAGGGAGCCCAAGAATCAGACCTGTTACGGGAGGCGTCCCACAAGGGTCAGTTCTCGGGCCTCTGCTGTGGAACATCACGTACGATGTGGTGTTCCGCGTTTCGCTACCACCGCACGTGCGCGTCGTCTGCTACGCGGACGACACGCTGGTGGTGGCGGAAGGCGCCTCGTCCGAGGAGGCTGGATCTCGTGCGAACTGCGCGCTCAGCGCAGTCACCGCCTGGATCCAGCAGGAGGGGAGTGGACTGAGCCTCGCCCTGGACAAGACCGAAGCGGTCTTGTTCACGGGCAGGTACAAGTTCATTCCTCCACGGCTCGTCGTGCTGGGGGTGGAGTTCCCGCTGAAGGACTCCATGACTTATCTGGGCCTTGTCATAGACAAACGTCTAAAGCTCGTGCCGCACATTACTCGTGCGGCCCAGCGGGCCCAGAAAGTCATGAATTGCCTCGCGGGACTCATGCCCAATATGGGAGGGCCGAGAGAAATGCGGCGCGGACTTTTAGTCAGCGTCGTACACTCGGTCCTCCTGTACGGGTCCCCGGTTTGGGCGGATACTCTTGAGTATTCGTCCAAAAACCGTGAAGCCCTGCTCAGAATGCAAAGGTGGGCGACGATCTGGACAGTTTCGGCGTACCGAACGGTGTCCGGAGTGGCGGCGGACATCCTGTCGTCACTGCCGTCCGCCGACCTGCTCTTAGAGAGGGCCAACAATATTCGGCCATTATAAAAAGGGTCATGGCGAAATTTGAACTCCAAGCGCTGGGCGTCGTGGTCTCCGGTACCCGCAGAACCAAGTCGGGAGCAGTGCTCCTGGAGGTTCGGGGTACCGGGGCCCAGACCGACTTGCTGACCGCCAAGGTCAGAAAGGCTCTGGACGGCATGGACATCCGCGCACATCACCCAGCGAAGTCCGTGACGTTCATGCTGTTGAACGTGGAAGAGTGTATAGTGGAAGAGGACGTCGTAGGGGCGTTGACCACTATCCTCTCGAAAGAGAAAGTGACGGCACCCGCTGATTCGGTGTCAGTCCGACTGCATGGGAGCGGCAAGTGTCGCTTTGCGTAGTGTGAGGTGCCCATTAGGGTTTCGCAACCATTGGTCGGGTTGACTCGAATCCGGGTGGAATGGGGCACGAACCGGATCTGGGTCCCAAAGGACAAGGGACCGCGCTGCTACAGGTGCCTCGAAAGGGGCCACGTTCGGGACCGGCGCGTACTTCACGTGCAAGGCAGAGGGTCACCGGGCCAAGAACTGTCCCAAGAAGGTGGGAGGGCCGGAGAAGCCTACATAAGGTATCTCCTGTCCTCCTCACTATTTCTGTGTTCTGTGTTTTGTGAATTTTTTTATGCCAACCCATTGCAAAGTCCTACCCCCTCCTCCATGTGGTGCGGCCTGGGCAACGGATCCCACTCTGAGGTCCGGCTAACGGGGGAGGCCACGTTGTATTGTGACTCAGCTCTTGATTAATTTCGGGCTGAGTCACAACACGGCAGTGTGAGTTTTAATGCGACGTTGGACGCCCTAAAGCAATACCTCACGGTAGTTCCAGGGCGTCCAACACTATGTTAATTTTTATTTATCATAAATAATTCTATTAAAATAATTATTTTAATTAAAAGATTATTTAATTAAAAAATTATTTACCTAAAAATTGTATATACCAATGTTTTTTACTATGATTTTTTGACCACAATGTACAACAAATGGAACATATTAAACAGATAACTAAAATACATTGAAAAATAATCTTCATTTGCGAATTAAGAAATATGTCTACTTTCGACCGTTTCAAAGTTGTTTTAATTTGATTTAACATTAGTTTCGTCTCATGACCAGAGTAAACTACTACGCCATATATCCATTTTACGTTTCTTAATACAGCTCCTCTCAACAATAATTGTTTGTAATCTAGAGGAGCAGGACTTCAAAAATAAATTCATAATTAATTATTAAAACATATTTTTTATATAGAAAGTATTCATCAGATACACAATAGGCACCAATTTTTATTTTAAAATTTAATTAATTACTGAAAATATGATATAGTTAAATACCTAGTTACCTTATTATATTTCAAATTGTTTTTCATTACAAAAGCGGTAAAAAAAAAAATTATGGTCATAGCTTAATATTGGTAATATAAATTATACCTTTATATTTTGTTAATATAAAATAAGATCTAAACCGACATGAACAAAATTTAACTTATAAAAAGTAAGAACAATACTTAAATGCGATTAAATTTTAATATATCTTACTCTTCTCTTTGTATTGTTAAACTTCCAGTAAATTTATTAAGTAATTTATTCGGCATCTCACATTCTATTACACCATCTAAATTTGTTAAATCATTTAATCCAGTGCATTTTAAAGTTTCGCTTAGACTATGACGAGTTTTTAATTTATTTTCTCCATCTAAATTTGTTGTCTCAATAAAACACATCCCATCAAGTTCACTAAAAATATTTAAACAGAATTAAAGCACACAATATTTTTAGTATTTAATCAAATATAATCTGCTTACCTAGAAGAAATTAATACCAAATCAGCAGGAAATATACTATTTTTCTCGATTTTTAATATATCTCCAACACCAATATCACTCCATTTTTTGTGAATTAAATTTCCGTTTCTTAATACTTTGGTATACCTATTATTAATTGAATTATCAGCAGTACGCCTTTTCTATTTAAATATAAATAAAAATTTAACTTAGCTTATAAGGTAGTAACTTGAACATTTCCACGATGTTGGAAATGCTATAGAATAAAATAAAATAGTTATATGTCGAAGATAAAATGTCATTGTTCAAAATAGGTAGTAAAAATGTTTAACATTTATCTCTTTCAAGACAATGAATTCTAAGATTTAGACAAAACAAAAAGCAGGTTTGTGTATACGTTTAGACGTAATACCCTTGTATATTAATATTTTTTTTTATCAAAAAATAGTATTTCAAGTGTCGTAATCGACAATTGATCTTCTGAAAAATATTTTAAATTATATCATAAATACTTCTTGTGATTTAATCACTTTCTTGCAAAAATCGTATTGGAATACTTTAAAAATGTATTAATGACTTCTTTTTTATTTTATTTGAATATATACATAGTATATACAATGTATATTATACATACATAGAATATATATATATATGAAATCATAACACAATATTTTCTTTTTTATCGTTATTGAGTTTGATATCTATTATTTCAGTAAAAATTATGAGTAGGTGCGTCATTTCAGATTATAGTAGACTAAAGCAAATTTTTGACCTGGCATTATTTCACAAATACGTTTTCTTGGCTCGCGATTCATCCCTCCTAATATGACCACTGAAATAATTTTATATATAAAAAAATATATATATTTCTAAAATATGACTTCATTTTTTACAATTTAACATATATAAAATGTAATTTTTAATGTTACTTCTAGTTTATAGGATGGAGTTTTATAACGAAAAAACAATTAATAAATAAATAAACTTTATTTATAACAATTTAAAAATATAAAATTATAAAACTCTGTCTTTTAATTTTAATATGTACTTATTTATTTGGTTTAATATAAACTTATATGAAATAACTACATACATGATGACAGAAACCAAAATTTATCATACTTTTAAACGGATACTTGCGGTCTCTCATACCAAAAAAGAAAATCTGTAACTTCCTCTGTATTAATTTGTGAAACCTTTTATTTTTCTACTAATATAACCATTAAATCATTAAGTTGAACATCACTCATATTAAAAAAACAATCTTTGGTTTAATACCGTAAAAACATAAAGTTATTAGAAGAGATAATTTAAAAATTTTAGGATAAGATTTGGGCGCTTTTAAAATTAATTCATGTATAAAAATCATCAAAGACATCTTTTTCGCTATTTTGTTAGCATAAATACAGGTTGTTTGACTCTGATTTTCAGTAAAAATTTAGACTGAACAATTGCCTCCCCCAAATGACGCCTCTGATTGTAAAAAATTGATTTGCGGGATCACAATTAATTGATTTACTCATACTATAATCTTATTAGAAATTAAAAATTTCCCTATTAAGAATAAATGATTTTTTATAAACACATTTATAATACGTACTATATCATCAAAGAATGATCTGATTCCTGATAAAATCATAAGACAAGTTAAGGGTATTATTGTCGTATAACGACCAAGTGGTGATACTCCAGGAATTTGCTAAAATAAATTTTTAAATATTAAATTTACCTATAGATCACAAAATAATACATATATACTTTATAAATAATAATGATAAATAAATAATAAATAATAATGACACTCGGATGAAAGTATACTTTGATAATAATAAAAAAAATTGATGTTCAATATAATTACAAAAAATTCGAGATAAAATATTGATTTTTAAATACTAAAAAATTGTGATTTAAAAAAAAAAAATACAAATACTAAAACATACTACAACAGTTCCTAACACAAAAGCAGTTTTAAAATAATTCTGAAATCTTTTTTAAAGATTTCAAATTCACTTAAAGAAAGTGATTAAAATCACTATCACAAAAAACTCTTCGTTGCAAATCTATAAATGGTGTTTAATTTTAATAAATTGATGAATAATTCTAAAAACTATCATCTGAATAATGAAAAATCGTATTTTAGCTTCGATGCGAAGCTAAAAAGATTTTGGTTTTACTATGATGTGTTTTTTTTTTTTGTGTCTGTTACCACTTTTTCTCAGCTCTCACCAAACGGATTTCTTTCGACGATACGTCAAAAGATCACAAATCGTATCTAGTCGAAGACATTACCCTTAAAAATTGAAAAAATTTCCCTCGTTCCCCGTAAATGGGGGAAACCTCCAAAAAAATTAAAAATTTAAAAATCGTTATTTTTCGAAATTTTTTCAATTTTTTTTACTAAAAGCTGCCATAACTTTTTCGAAAATGAACATATCAATAAATTTTTTTTTTTTTAGAGATGTTTGAAGTCTTTACCTATCATTTGGTATATTTTTTTTGTAAATCTGACACTTAACCTGCCCACACGGGGGGATTTAAAAGGACAACTTTTTCAACTTAACTTTTGAAAATGTTCCGGAAGGTCTGACACTTTTATATATATCTTAAATTAAAGCTAATGTAATGTAATTTATTATGAAAAAAAAAAAATTTGACCTCTGGACTGGTCTTCGTGGTGAAAATGGCTACTGAATGCTATTTTTGTCTGAAAATTCTCGATATTATATTTTACATTTTTTACTTTATAATGCTGTAACTTATTGTATCAACACAATTTTTTTATGTGAAATATTATTTTTTAATAATCCATTTTTCATTCAGGATATTAATAAGGAAATAGCAGATCATGTAGCTTTTGTAATAATACATCAATTTTTTAAAATTATACATTATCTAAAGATTTGCATCGAAGCATTTTTTTTTTTTATTGTGATTTTAATAACTGTCAGATATCATTATACTTGATCCAACTATGCTACGTCAACACTGTGCCGCGTCCCCCATGGGTTGGGTTATATACGGGGGGGCTTCAAATCTAAAAAATGCATGTAGAAAGTAGAACTTTTTCAACTTAACTTTTGAAAGTGTTCCGGAAAATCTGACACTTTTGTATATATCTTAAATTAAAGCTAATGTAATGTTCTTTATTATGCCAAAAAAAAATTTTGGACTTTATTTTATCTTTACGGTGAAAATGGCTACCGAATGCTATTTTTGTGTGAAAATTTTCGATTTTGTATTTTACATTTTTAATTTTATTATGCTATAACTTTTTGAAATATGTATGGATCAATATAATTCTTATTGTAGAAAGTAGAACTTTTTCAACTTAACTTTTGAAAGTGTTCCAGAAAGTCTATATAACAATATAATTCTTTTTTTTATAGATGCATGATGTCTTTACCTATCATTTGGTATATTTTTTTTATAAATCTGACTTTTTACCTGCTTACAGGGTGGGATTTAAAATGACAACTTTTTCAAAAAAAATTTACTTTTTTTACTTACATTTTGAAAGTGTTCCGCAAAGTCTGACACTTTTATATATATCTTAAATTAAAGCTAATGTAATTTATTTTATTATGCAAAAAAAAAAAAATTTCGGACTTTATTTTATCTTCACGATGAAAATGGCTACCAAATGCTATTATTATGTGAAAATTCTCGATTTTATTTTTTACATTTTTAACTTTATAATGCTATGACATATTGAAAAGTGTATGGATCAACACAATTTTTTTATGAGAAATAATATTTTTTAATAATCCCTTTTTCATTCGACATATTTTATCTTAATCAGTATATTAATAATAAAATAACAGATCATGTAGCTTTTATAATAATCTACCAATTTTTAAAATTATACATTATCTAAAGATTTGCATGGAAGCGTGTTTTTTTTTGATAGTGATTTTAATCACTGTCAGATATCATTATACTTGATCCAACTATGCCACGTCACCACTGTGCCGAGACCCCCCTGTGCTGGGTTTTTTTATTAACTTTGATGTCCGTTTTTATCATGAAAACAAAATAAAATATTCGCTAAAATAAAGTGCAAAATTTTTTTTTTTCGTATTAAAGTATATTACATAAACTTTAATTTAAGATATATATAAAAGTGTCAGACTTTCCGGAATACTTTTAAAAGTTAAATATAAAAAGTTCATTTTTTGTGAAAAAGATGTCATTTTGAATCTCTCCTTATCGGCAGGAAAAGGGTCAAATTGATAAAAAAAAATATAGAAAATGATAGGTACCTTATGAATCTATAAAAACAAAATTATATTGATTTGGTTATTTTTAAGTTATTTTCAAAAAAATGACTAATAATAAGTGTATTCAGTGTTATTTTATATTATAATTATTTATTCTTACCTGAAGTACAGAAATAACTAAAAAATATTGACTTGAAAAATGTTTCATTTGCTCTACTAAAATGCGAGGCAAAAACGATAATATTCCATATTTAGATGTAATAATTCGATTTAAATTATTTTTGGGTTGTTCCTTGTCATTGAAATAAATGACACGACATTTTTTTACACCATTTATGTCTGTAGTATAATAATCTAAACAAATTGTCATTATTACAAATAAATTTTTTTTAATTAAGAATTAAATTATAAATTTCGGAATTTGTAATAATAGTGTTGCAAATACTATTATTGTGGAGAGTAATTAGAATACTTCCACGGCTTTTCTGACAATTTTAAAAGATGACGAATAAGCCGCAAAACTTTAGGTTAAATTTATGTTAATTATGAAATATTTTTTTTGTTTACTCTTACCAGCAACATACAGAATTATCTTGCTTATATGTTAGATAATAATCTAATAAAGAAAATGACTGATAGATAACAACTTTTGGATTAATATCTCAAAAGTTATTCTAAATAATGTGAGGCTAAATGCGGGGGTAGTTATTTTTATTATTAGACATAGTTTGGCCTATGTATGAAAATGTTAATAACATCTGAAATATTAGTTTAAAAGTTGTTTTCAAACAGTCTTTTATTTTATTAGATCATTATCTAATAAATATTTTATTTTAATATACAGAATGATTTTTTTATCATAACCCACTCAATTACTTACAGAATAATAATAAATTATACATTTTTTTTTTATTACTATCTTTAGTTACACATTATTCTTGAATTATTAACTATGTAATACTTTTTAAGTTCATCCCTTATGCCTGGTAAGGGTGTCAACTTTGTTTTTTTAAATGGTAACACATATTTTTAATTTAATAAAATGTTTGAGTTTTTAATTCAATAATAAATGGCATTTGAATTTTTAATAAAACTTAATTTGTTTATTAGATATAAACATTTAAAGTTTCAAATTTTTGAGTTAATATATAGGTATAATACACAAGGGATTACAAATACAGGTAGCTAATTGGTTTTTTATGATATTGCTATCACAATCACGGATTGTTTATTATCAATTGTGACTATCTATAGATATACTTTTAGTATTGTCAGTTAGTGTAATTATAAACTCACAACAATGTACCTTACTATCATTGATAATAACAATGCTGTGTACCTGCTAATATCGATGTCATAAAAAATCAATTAGCTACCTGTATTTGTAATCCCTTGTGTATTATACCTATATATTAACTCAAAAATTTGAAACTTTAAATGTTTATATCTAATAAACAAATTAAGTTTTATTAAAAATTCAAATGCCATTTATTATTGAATTAAAAACTCAAACATTTTATTAAATTAAAAATATGTGTTACCATTTAAAAAAACAAAGTTGACACCCTTACCAGGCATAAGGGATGAACTTAAAAAGTATTACATAGTTCATAATTCAAGAATAATGTGTAACTAAAGATAGTAATAAAAAAATTTTTTTTAATTATTATTATTCTGTAAGTAATTGAGTGAGTTATGATAAAAAAATCATCCTGTATACTTATTACTTTACATTCCATAATTTCTTTGCCCATTTTAAAATATTTTTCCAAGATTTCCAGACTTGTGGCAACGATAAGTACTCGTACAGAGTCAAAAAAGGTTAGAGTAGTTGACAATTGTCCCAAAAAATAATTCAGTACTAGAACCGTTTCCGAAAGCATTGTGAAGGGGCCCATTACTATTTAATAATTTATTGTTTTAGACGGAAGTTTTTTTATATATAGTGCTTAGGGGCACATTACAAACTTATGAGGAGAGGCACAAATAAAATTTTTAATTAAAACAACAACAAACACTTTTATATTAGCTTTACATGAGCATGAGTGGTTTTGTGTCCTAGTGTAATCCTCTACATACGCCACTGATAAGGTTGCTACAATAAAAAAAATGTTTAAATAAGCCATACAATTAAAAATATATATATTTAGTTGGCATAAAAATGTTTTCATCGCCCTATCAAATATCTTTTTTTTTTTGGAAATGTCATGTTCGGCACTGATATATAGAACAATTCGTTTTAGTTAAAATGTCACATTTAAGTATAATTAATACTAGACACTTTGTATAATTAATATTTTAATAGTGAATGATGCAATAAAATAAATGTATACTCCCCATTAAAAAAAAATCATTTGTTAAATTTGTACTTACCGTGATATTTTTTTTGCAAATTGGGAGATATTTTCTTTTTCTTTAACATTATATACTCAAGCAATTAAATTAATTTATTTTGTGGAAAACTAACAATCAATATGAAAGCTATCTGAACATTTTACAATAATTCGTAAAACTAATGATATTTATTAAACGAATGATGTAATTTTTCTGATTACTCAATATTGTAAATTATACTCTTAAAGGAATTTAGATTTACACATTAACACACAGAACTGTTTCACTACTATACAAATTATCTTATCTGGATTGTTTATTTGTAGTGCGTTAGAAATCATTTGGAAATCTTTGTACGTACTAATAATTACTCTTAAAATGAGTACACAATTATTTTTTTCCAAAAAAACATTTATCCATAGTTTGTTATTTAATGGTTTATTGGTTAAAAAAACCTTGGAACAATTAAAATGATTAGTAACAATCAGTGTGGTGAGAGAGTTAAGGGGTTTGTGATGATGACTTTTACTTTTTTTGTTCATTCGAGTTTTCTTAAACAGCGATTCAGAGTATAATCATTTTGATGATAAAAAAAAAAGTAATAATCTCTCTCAAAATTTCTATGATTAAATATTTTTCAGTGCATAATTTTTAAAGCTATTGGTATTCCCAGTGATGTACTCAATATTCGTTGAGTTTTTTAACCCTTACAATTATGCCTTCAAAAAATATTTTTAATATTCAATATATTAACATATAGCACTTCTTTAAATCAATTATCATCTCTTACTCTATAATTAATTTCCGGCAACGACACGTATTTTTAACAACTATAAGTTACTTTTAATTTTTAAAGTTTATGTTTACTAAATATTAGTATTTCAATTGATATTAGTAAAATTCCTTGTATTCCTAAGAAATGGGAAATTGAATAACCGGTTAAGGATTTATTTAACAACAAAATTTTATATGACATAATTGTTTAATGAATACTTTGATCGTAGGTGAAGAAGTAACATTCTAATAAAAAATTAGGTGTAATTGTTGAACCCCAAATGACTTATCAACATGTAATTTCTACACATGTCACATTGTCATACTTTGATAAATGTTGTTTCAAAGTTTTATTTTTATTTTATAAATCAACTATAATTTTTATTAAGTTTTTATTTATGTAAAATTTATTATTGTTTATTTTATTGTTGGACAAAACTTCCTGTGTCATAAAATAATGTATCTGAAAACGTGGAAAGAATTTGAGAGCGCATCTTATAACTTGCTTTTAAGAGATCCAACTAAAGTAGTTTAAAATTATAAAATCTATCTATATAATTTTATTAGACTTATTTTTTTGTGAAACATAACTAAAAGTCCTATTACATACATAACAAAATTACTATTAGTACATATCATTTTGGATTAGAAATGTTTTTCAATAGTAATTTTGTAATTTAGTTTAATGATTTGCCATAGTGGCAGTTGTATGGGGTGATTGGTCGATTAACAATCACTGCTAGGTATCTTTTTTAAGTATTCTAATATTAGGATTTTTAGTATTCTGTGGATACAATTATCCCAAAAAATTCACACATTAATAATTAAAAAATGTGCATGAAGTTTTAAGATATCAAAGTATATTTGTAGACACATTAAATTATAATTGATTTTTTGTTTTCAAAAAATATGGAACAACCATAACACTTGATAATCATTAGTGTTGTTAATATATGACCTACGAGTATATAAAATAAAAATATTCCTATTATCCACCTATGTGCACCTATTATGTATTAATAATAAACTCTACAACTGTGTTAGGCTATATTTAGTCATTTTCACCTCATCCCCTTAAGTCATTTATAATCGCCACAAGTATACTATATAAAATTAATTATATAGATTCCTATCATAAATTTTCTTTAAGAAATTTAACATCATTATAAATTATAAATAATAATTTTGAATGACTTCTTATATAGATAAATTATCCATATAATTTTCATTTTCTTTTTTCGTTAAACCACTTATTCACATTAACTTCTTATATAAATTAAGTTTTGTCAATTTTATTATATAAATAGTGATAATTTTTAAACAAAAATTTGTTAAATTGTATAAATTTATTTCAATTTAAATTTTATTCAGACAAAGAATTGAAGTATATCAGTGTACCAAAAAAAATTTTTTTTTATAATTTTAGGTAAGATGTACAATGAAATACTGCCACAATGAATCTACTGTTCAACTTAAAGTTACAGATAATATTACGGTAAATTTATAGCTCAAAGTATTTTATTAGATTTAAAATTTTGTAAAAAATTGTATCAAATTGAATAATTTATAACCTGAGAGCAGCCCTTAAAGAGATTGTCTTCCTCCTTTTGTCTCTACTATTAACTTCAGAATTTTGATGGGTTCATCTGCTCTTGATATGACCTGATATTGTATTGTAAAATTACATCATGTAATCTAGTAACCAACATATTGTCTAATTTTTGTCTTTCCATGTAAACATACAAATTGTTAGTCAAAGAAAGTTTATTTTATTTATATTAATTACAGCCTTTCAGTCTTAATATATATATAAATTTAAATATTTTTTTTAGTGTTTACAATTCAAAACAAGTGATATACAATACATGAAAAAAATTGAAGTATTCTACTCAACTATTATGCGACAAATAACATCATCTGAATTATGATATTAGGAAAATAAGCAAGTGAAATAATTTGGGATTTTATAAGTTGTATATATATATATATATATATATATATATATATATATATATATATTTATAAACTTTTTAGGTGTAAATAATATTACAATTAATATGATTACTCTGAAGATTTCATATGAATATTTTAATGAATTCTTATTTAACATTCAGTTAATTTAATGAATAAATACAACTACAATTATAATGTGATGTTCGCTTTTTAATTTTTATTAAATAATATCTAAACAATATTATGGAAACACACCTTAGTTGTTATTAATATCATATTCATAACTCATATATATATTTCATTGTTAACAATAACAAAAGTCTGATTTCCATTTTGTCACATTAATGTTTTAATTAACCAAATTATTATCCAACATAAAGAAATTTTATATTTAATTATTCATGTCTATTAATAACGGCATACTCATCTATAAAACTCAAGTTTACTATTATACATTATAGGACACCAGGGTGGGAAACGTTATTATAAATATCATAAAAAAATAATTTATGGATTATTGAAAATGATTTTTGCAGCCTCAAATATTAAAGAAACCAAATTAATGACAAATGTTGACTTAAAATTCAAATTTTTTAGCCATCTTAAAACGCAAATGGTTGATTTAATAAAAAAATATAAAAACTAAAGTATATTTTTTTTATTTTTCATTTAAGTCAAATGCATAAAAAAAAAATTATTCCAAATATTTTATCTCTTAACAAAAATTTATAATGTTCAATAGTTTCTGCGAAAATGCATGTCTTACACAAAATTAATTACTCTGTACATACAAGAACGTATCATACAGGTGATTCTTTTAACGTTTTAAACTGATGAGTAATGTTTTAAATAAGAATGTTATCCACTTTATTTCTCTTTAAGTAATAATTATACTAAGAACATTATATTGGTATTTTTTTGGGGGGAAAACACCTTTACCACAAACTGATAATGCTCCGACATTTAAAAAAGTAGTAATTGTTACGAACATCTGGTACTCCGACCATCTGTACCATAGGTTACCGAAATTACGACAGATTGTAATCCGACATTAAATTAAAAAAATGAGACGGTAAAAACTCCGACATTATCGATAGTTTGATTATACATCGAAAGTTATATTATATTTTGATTGTATTATTAGTAATAGGACGCATCGATTTTAGTAATTTGACTTTTATACAATAAAATAAATATAATATTAAACTGTGTAAGTTTTGCTACAAGTTCTAATATAAGTTATGCTAAGAATGAGTAAAATTTGGTTATATATAAGTAGAATTAATTTTTTCTTATTTAAAAATTCTGTGTGTCGTCTAAAAGTAAAAATATATTAACTCATCGTTAAACAATTTTAATTTTGTGACATGAGTTTTATAATCAATGTTAAATTATTAGTAAAACCATTATAATCTCCAGTGGTGCTCAAAGAAAAGTTAAAAATATTAAGGAGTAAAAAATTTTTTATTTTAAGTTCTTTTTCTTTAAAATCTAATGAACATTTATTGAAATCAGTTTGATATTTCCTTGAAAAAAATATCTGAATAGCCTTTCCTTTTTTAATAATAATTACAATGAAATTATTACAAAATTAGACTTCACATATTTTTAACAATGCACTCCATTATTTTTCACAAGTGTTATTCTTTGATATTTTAACTATCAGTAGTTAAATATTATATAATATTAAATAATTGTTATTCCCCTTAAAAATATGTAGTTATCACTTGTAAAATAACATTTTTCTTTGTTATTAATAAAGTAACAAAGATGTCTAGTCCATTTAATTTATTTTATGCTGTAACTTGTGTATCATCACTACTATTAGTTAGTAAAAATATTTTATTAATTTATTTTTAAATTATATCTAGTCTAGATTTTAATGTGGAAGTCTTTATCGCTTCTCAAACGCACAAAATAAATTTTCTTTTATCGTGTACACAGGTTTTTTCTAATATTAAAACAGAAGTGAAAAATTATACGCTTAAGTATAGACGATTAATAATAGTGTAGTGTTAATAATAAGAATAGCTAGTTTAATGTCATCAGTGACACGTACCCCTATATTTTTTAACTAAACTAATTAAATGTTATAATAATAGGCCCCAATAAGGAGAGACAAAAAAGATTTTACGTCCGAAAATTGTAATCGCTCTTCTTTCCCCTCCAAAAAAAAAAATTTAAGGGCTCACACCAGTTATATAACTGGGGTTGTTCTAGTTCAAAGCCCCCTTCTTTACCTTTATGTAACTATTTTATCAAAAGTCGGATATATTTCGAGGAACTTTATTTTAATTATTATTCGTTCATATATAGTAATCAATTATAACGCTATTTTATTATATTAATTAATATTTATTAATTAGTGATAAGGGTTATATTTTTCCATCAGATAATATATTGCTACGATACTCATCTAATCCGAAATTTCATAATTTTTTAATCGATTTCGTGAACAATCAATATTCGGAGCAATCAATTAATAGTCCTATTCGGAGTATTCATCGTCGTAGTAAAATCGAAATTTTTGTAACCAGGTATGCGTAGTAATTGTTGTCGGAGTGAATGTATTCGGAGGATTTTTTTACAGTGTCGGAGTATAAGAATGTCAGAGCATTATTAGTTCGTGGCAATCTCCGTAACCGGTATTTTTATCTAATTACTTGTTTGATAACAACTTTTAACTCATTTCTGAAGTTAAACTATTTTAAAATATAAATTAAGGAGATTAGATGTGGGTTATGTTATTATTATCATTATGTATTACTCTGATCTTCTTCTACCCAATATTTAAAAATGTTAAGTACTATTTCAAAAATTTTTTTGACCAGTGATTAACATTTAAAAGACGAGACACAATTTAATGATATATCCGACAATGAAAACTTGATAGCACTGTTTAAAATGGATAATGAACGAATCTAAAAAAGGTTTAACTACTTATAAATCGAAAAATAAACATTATTAAACAAATAAAAAATATATATAATTATTTAATAAAAACCTAGAGTTCAAGGATAAATAAATTAATCTGTTTATACAAAGTTCAACCCTTTTGAAAAGAGACGTCAAATTATAGAACTTAAAATTAGTAATAAAAGTTATAACTATAATATATATTATATTATAACAATTAACTATAGTTATTATCATCTTGAAACAGTATATTCTACTTTGAATACACGTAATTTGCCATTGAAGCTTTCTAAAAAAACTTCTGCTTTCAAAGTTTATGGAAGGGAATAAAATGGATATCGTCATTGGATACTCCTCCGAAATTTAGCTGATTAACTAACGATAAGGTGAAAATATTAATAAATTTTGTTAAGTTTTTTAAGTCTAATATTTGTGATATTTATAGATAAGACCATAGTAAAATGAATAAGAAGTATTAGCTCGATCAAATTAGTGCGCATGATAAGCCTAGGGGTAAAATATGTAACCAACAATAAACTCAACGTGACGTCACATGTAAATACATTGCGTTGTATATATTCTATATTAAGGGGCACTGTCCCGTTATAGTCAAGTATTTTAATGAACTTTTTTTAGTTAATTTCGGTTTTCAATTTCATTTATAATTTTTTTATTATTATTATTAACTTCAACTGTGTTGTAATACATCTTTATTGTATTATCTGCTACACTGTAGTAGTTTATAAACCAAGATTTAATTCGTTGATAAATCTAACCTGAGAAAAACTTTAACTGCATAGTAAAATTTTACTATGTTTAACTGCATATAAATAATTAAATATCAATTTATTGTGTAATTACTTACAGTAAGTATAAGTTGTTACATTATTTATAAAAAATGTAGTTTTAATGATTATTTAATAAATTTTTGAATTTTTTTTTTATTGCTCATTTCTCGTGATGCAAGTTTTTTTATTTATATTCCGTATTCTAAAATATATTTTTGTTCTAATAATGAAGTTTTTGACTTCATCATCCACCAAAAGATTATCTGAATTACATGCTTTTTTAGTTAATTCCAGTACCTCCTTTATTAAGCCTGGAGTTTTTCTAATATCATCTATTAAAAATTTAATCATAGGTATGTAAAAATATTTTATATTAACTGTATTTCTATAAGTACCATTTTCATTTAATTTTTTAAAAATAGTTCCTATGATTTTTCCTAAATTTATTAATGTAGGTGATGGTTGTCGTAATGTTCCAAATTATTTAACCTCTATGCAATCATTAGGTTCATTCAAATTATCTACAAGATTCGGATATTTGTATTCAAATTTAAAAGCTACATATCCCCAATAAATATGTTAGGCTGTCCTCAAATAAATCTGATGGATTATATTTATTATTAGCAGCACACTAAAAAAATATACAATGAAAAGGTACTAGAAATATTGAAATATTATATTATATAATTTTTATATTATAAAAATAAAATAAACATAATCTATATTTCAAGATTATATTATGCTATCTCTCTCATTCACTTAATAAATAAAATAATTTCTATAAATAATGTTGATTGTTTTTTAAAATTCACATTAATTAATACTCATTCATTTTTTTAGAAAAAAAAAATGCTATGCGCTGTTTTCCAAAAATGTACCAACTTAACCTAATGTAATATATTTAATATTAATTTTTTAAGTTAATGTGGTGTTAATTCAATGTCAAAACATAAAAAAATAAGTCTACACACTAGTTAATATAGCTCACGTTAAAATTAACGAGGTACAAAATCCTAATTTTTCATTAAAATACAAAAGTTACAACAAAAAAATACATAGAATCTAAAATAAGTATCCACGATTAAATTTATTATAAAATATTATTATAATGCGTTGTTTTAAAGTAATTAATATAATTATTACTTAAAAATTATGTCTATCATATATATTATATCAGAATTATCAATTTAAAAATCGCCCGGTTTTAAAGTGCATTCGGAAGCGGTAGTATTTCACCGATCGTATACGAATGCACAAAAACACAAGGCGATGCACTTGCGCGTACTACGACGAAAATGCTGACTGTGATCGAGCATACTTCTTATTCATTTTACTATGGATAAGACATAAAAAATAATTAGTGCGCATCATGGAACAAAAAATACTTTTAGTGTAAGTCTTCATTTAAGTAACATTATGTCATCTAATATTACGTTTTAGATTCATCATAGTGCCTTTCGTTTTATCATGCTTGATATTCTTGTTGATAATAATTGATACAAAAATTTACGTCCTTACTGTATATTATATCACTAGTTTGTATAGTGAAAATAACAATAACAATAGTATTATAATTTTTTTTTCAGTTACTGTTCTTTAAAATAAATTTTATTTTTAATTTCTTAAAAATTCTAAACAAACAGTAAGTTGTCGCTTATTTTATGTTATTTCCATATTTGGTAAGAAACGCAATGAGCGAATCGTATATGTTAGTAATGTGATTTTTTAGAAATAACTAATTCGAAAGTAAAATGAAAATAAATATTTTTAACGTAAAATATTTTTTTCTTGTTTTATTTTCATAATTAAATTTGGCAATTTATTTTTATTGTATGAAATTTAAAATAATTGCTAACTAAACTTTGTTTATAGTTTTTACTATATTCATTTGAAAATCAGTAATATAAATAGAAAGTAATAATTATATTTTTAATTTAACATTAAGAATCCTCGTAAAGTTAAAATATATATCAAAAAGTATAATTGACAAACATTATTTTAAAAATAAGCCAATTCTATAAATTTATAGGATATAAAACTATTATAGTATAATTTATTATAGATAATAAGTTTTCTTGAAAATTATTTAAATTATTTTATATAAGCATTTTTATTTTGGATACGATTCACTACTATTATGAATAGTAACATAGAATAATGGTTTAATAGTAGAGATTCTACATTAAACCTTTCTTTAAGATTTTGGTCCATTTTAAAGTGCCCCTATTTGAACTTTTAAATTGACTATATTTTTATTATTAAGTCATTGACTTTTTAATTTGCTCTGTACGTGTTATTTTTAATATTTTATAGTTTGAATATTACCAATAATGACGGATCCAGTTTTTCCTAGTCAGCATACAACTACTACAACAGTAACAAATACTGAAGTGATAACAAATTTTCGGTATGATAAATCCTATGTTTACACTCTTGCAGGAAAGTTAAAGATTGCACAAATTGTAAGTAAAATAATTTATTGACTTTAATAAATTTTTGATAATAACTAAATTGAATATGTTTAATCTTTCTCTTTGAAATTCAATAAGTCTTACTGTTTTTCAGTAGAATTCAATGAATTAAAAATATTTAATGAGTTCTTTTATATATATATTTTTTAATAATAATTTTTAGGTGAACTTAAAAACCTTAAAAATTATGTTTAAGATATCCTAAGTAAAACAAAAGAGTTTCTATTTAAAGTTTGGAACAAAAGTTTTTTTTCAAAATATTTAGTTGAGACGACCCATAGGATCTTGAACAAAAATATATACAACTTAACTTGACATCTATTTCATATAGTTTACGTCAAGATAGGGAATAAAATGTATGATGGAAAGGAACTTCCAATGAAGTGTCTTCAAACTTTTATAAAAATAATATTTACATCAATGTATACAATAAATTTACAATAAGTATTATGGCTAATAAAGATTTATCTTACAACATCTTGATTATATAATTAACTAAATTAAAAATGCATGTCCTTAAGCTTATCGACTTTTACAATTAATTTAGTTAATGTTTGCGTAAAATTGTTTAATTCTGACAGTATTATGCTTAGTGAGGTCAATACTATTTTATTCATAGCAATATTACTAGCAATTTTAGTTTCTTGAGCTTATGAAATACTATCCGATAAGTTTGTCTGTAAATTTGACTATAAGCACTGAACATACGCTATCTTTTTTCTTAGATATTGGACAGTCCATAGACTTATGTTTATCAAGACACTTAATACATACTGGTGTTTTGTAGCAACAATTAAGAGTATAGTTAAAAGATTGACAATTCCTACTCTAAAGGTCCTTTTTTTTCTTGCTTTTCAGATGTACTATAAAAAATTTTTGTATTAGCATAACTGTTCTACCAAATAAGTATCCTTATTTTTAGTTTATGATTTTAATTCCACAAAAAATAGTGGTAATCTATTATGCTTCTATTTATTGTTTTTATTTTTTTTGAGCTTTTCTCTTCCTTATTTGAACATTTGTAATATCTAGATGTCTGTTATCTGTCAATTCTTGTTTGAAATTATGAACGTCAGCTTGCTGATATAATCCTCAGATTACTACATTTAACATTTTTTTTGTCTTAAGCTGAAAATGTATTAAGTATTAAATATTAATAAGTCACATTTCTCAACTATGACTCAAATTAGTGTATATATAAATAAAATAGATCTAATCATTACATTTCTTTTTATTATGTAATTAATGTTATTCTATTTTTATGAGTACTGTTATGTTAATGATTATGAAATTTGTTTACTTCTAAATCCTTGTTTTTGCTTACACAACTAATGGTGCTTTATAAATACAATTTAAGTATGAAATTATTAAAATAATTTGTAAATGTAAAAATGTTAAAATGAAGTTTTACAAATATGTAATACATATTTAATTATAGCTTGTCACTCACTTAACAATATGTTTAATGAAGTTGACCAGCAATGTTAAAAAAGCTCCATTTTATACTGTTTGCTACATAAATACTATTGATAAAGATGTTGAGTTTTTAAAAACAGAAATAACAGTTGTATTTAAAGTTATAATATTAATTGTCAATTCAAATAGTTATCGTTAATGTTTCATAACTTAATTTTAGGTATGTGTGTTTCTCAGTATTATGACCCTCTCATTCTCTACTTATAATATGTGGTATCAAAATAGCGCTGTAACCTCTATAATGATGTTTGGACTTTGGTTTTCATTGTTTATGTTAGTGTTTTATTTATTCCACGTGGTTGAATGTTTTTATAAGATCCCATGGCTTAAAATTGTAAGTAAGAATTCATTATTATTAATTAAGAAAAATCATTTATGTATTAATCAATGACTTATAAAATAAAAATAATTATGAGATTTTGTTAATTTTATATTATTTGAATTATATATTATTAGTTACTTTTTATAATTTACCCTCAAGTTTTATAATGGTATTATTTTGACTTTTTATAGAGTAAAATACAAATTTCACTAGTTAACGTATTAGAAAATAACAAATATTGATCCAGCATTTTAATTGTTTTAATAATTTAAGTAAAGATTATCGGAAATATATAGGTAAAGTAATACTAGTAAACACTAGGCATTTCTCATCCACTTATCATCAGCTTGATGTGATTACAAAATTCACTATTAATGAGTATTATCAGTAAAGTTTACACACTCAACTTTTGGTACTAGCAGTATTACAGGTTACAAGTTTGCTAATAACACTCTGATAACTAAATGACTAAAATATGGTTAATAACATAAAATAGTATGAAAGTTCAACAAGTCATTAATTAGCAACAGCCTGGTATCAGCCTTTTGTAACCTTCACTTTTTATGTTACTTAAAAGAATCAACTTAATTATTTTATTTCACAACAGTGTATATTATACTATCAAGGATCTAAAAAATTATTGATGATTGATAATATGATAAGTATACTGAATGATTTTTTTAACACTAATCACTCGATTTCTCTTAAAATAATAATTATGTTAAGAAAATTATTTTTGTTATTTTTTAGTTTCATATATCATTATTTATCAGTTATTATTTTCAACTGAAACAATAATTTCAGAGATGTTAGATTCCTACCCTAAACTATCTCCAATTTTTCTTTTGCCTTAGGGCAATAAAATGTCTTCTGATGGGTGATTTTCAAATTTTAGTATACACATTATAAAATTTTGAACCCATTAACTCAATAAAACCAAAGTTATATCAATATATATACAGGATGATTTTTTTATTACTATCTTTAGTTACACATTATTCTTGAATTATGAACTATGTAATACTTTTNTTACACATTATTCTTGAATTATTAACTATGTAATACTTTTTAAGTTCATCCCTTATGCCTGGTAAGGGTGTCAACTTTGTTTTTTTAAATTGTAACACATATTTTTAATTTAATAAAATATTTGAGTTTTTAATTTAATAGTAAATGGCATTTGAATTTTTAATAAAACTTAATTTGTTTATTAGATATAAACATTTAAAGTTTCAAATTTTTGAGTTAATATATAGGTATAATACACAAGGGATTACAAATACAGGTAGCTAATTGATTTTTTATGACATCGATATTAGCAGGTACACAGCATTGTTATTATCAATGATAGTAAGGTACATTGTTGTGAGTTTATAAATACACTAACTGACAATACAAAAAGTATATCTATTGATAGTCACAATTGATAATAAACAATCCGTGACTGTGATAGCAATATCATAAAAAACCAATTAGCTACCTGTATTTGTAATCCCTTATATATTATACCTATATATTAACTCAAAAATTTGAAACTTTAAATGTTTATATCTAATAAACAAATTAAGTTTTATTAAAAATTCAAATGCCATTTATTATTGAATTAAAAACTCAAACATTTTATTAAATTAAAAATATGTGTTACCATTTAAAAAAACAAAGTTGACACCCTTACCAGGCATAAGGGATGAACTTAAAAAGTATTACATAGTTAATAATTCAAGAATAATGTGTAACTAAAGATAGTAATAAAAAAAAAATGTATAATTTATTATTATTCTGTAAGTAATTGAGTGGGTTATGATAAAAAAATCATTCTGTATATATTAAGAAATAAGTAAAGATTAAAGTTGTAGAAATTTCAAAGTTTTGCTACAGTTTCTAGATATTTATGCCCATACACACTAATTAAAAATAGCTAGTAAAGTAAAACTTAAAATAGTAATTTTTTTTTATTTAAAAGGGTTTACGAAAATAGAAAAATGATAAACGTCAAGTGTTATCCAACTATTCTTTACATTATCGTGCAATCAAAATTTCAAAACACTAAAGGAACTAACATAGGACTGTATAGTGACTTTTTTAATCCATATAAATGTTTTTACTTTTTTAAAACATTTAAATTTTTCTTTAAATTTAAAATTTTTTGAACAATTTCATAGGTTAATCACCAAAATAAAAATAAAAAATCTCATCGTTATCTTTATTTTATAAATTAAAATTAAGAAAAAAATGTTTGTTGTTAAAACTATACAGGGTGTCCTGCCAAGTTTTGACATTTTTAATAATTTTTGATGCAGAATATATTTTGTCAATTATAATTTTTACAATTTCAGAAAAAATTTTTTGTTAAAAGCATATATATATTTTATTATTTGTCTAATAAGAAACAAAACTAAAAATAAAGTTATTTTCAAAATTTTTTAGCTCTTACAAAAAATTTTATCAATAACAATTTTAGAATATGTAATTATTGATTTACAAGAATTTTAATATATAGAGAAATTATATAGTGCCAGTAGGTGAAGTTTGAACTAGTATATATTAATTATGCTTACTTCAGTTATGATACATACTCCCTCTATAAATTAAAATACTTGTAACTTATTAAATACTTATCCTAAAAAAGTAGATATTGACCTTATATATAATAATATATATCTTATTATAGAAGACCTAAAGATATTTGTGTATGTTACTATTAAATATTTTAATGGAGCAGATAAAATAAAGTAGGTTTCAATAAAATCATAATATGTACCTCAAATTTTGGTGATAATCCATTTATTTTAAGTTTTTATGATGTTACATACACCAATCCTTTTCATAGGTCTTCAATTGTTAGCTATTTTCGCAATGGTCCTTAATGTTTAAATTTTATATGGAATAGTCCTGATAAATTTTACTCAAAATTTATCATCTATTTATAAGAATTTATTTGGGAGCATTACGTCAATAGTAAATTTTATTACATAATTTGTATAAATTAAATTTTTCAACTAGGAAATGATCTTTAACGTTTGTTGGCCATTATTATATCTGCTTTCTGCAGCTATAGCAGCTTCATATATTGGAATGAACTTCAGCTATACACTAAGTTTGGTAAATATCCTTTCATTGAATATTTTAGGACTGCTAAATGTTTTTTAAATTATTGATATGACGTTTGAGAATGTGTACCTTTTATTATTATTAGGTTGTTAGAAAGTTAGATCCTAAAAATGATGATATCATAATGGTTCCAATATACTATCATATTGGTATTCACGAGAAATAAGAATGTTACTTATATTTTTATTTATTTATCAATTTTTTTTGTGTTCTGACAATTATATTATTTTTTATTTATCAAAATAGTGTATATAGAATGATTTTTTAAATAATATTCACTCAATTTCTTTTAGAATAATAATCATTTAAAAAAATTATTTTTAATATTTTTTAGTTTCATATATATCTTGATTTATCATTTATTAATTACAATTTTAATTTTAAATTTACCCTTGTGCCTTATAAGAGTATCAACTTTTATTCTTTAAATGGCAACATACATGTTTAACTAATAAAATAAAAAATGATCTAATTAAAAAAATGACTGGTCAATAACAACTTTTATTTTGTAAGTTATTACTATTATAAAATATTGTGTAGTGGTGAGGTGTGGGTTATATTATTTCTATCATTAAATATTACTCTCCCTGACTCATTTTCACTCTTTATTTTAAAATGTTAATAATACAAAGTATTAGTTGAAAAGTTATTATCAACCAACAAGTCTTTTTCTTAATTTGATAATTTTTTATTTTATTAGTTATTTACAATCAATCATTAAATATTAAATAAATAATAATAATTTAATAAAAATGTATTTGGCTCTGGGGGCATTGGGACGCAAAAGACCCCCTATATACGCCACTGCCTAAGAGATTCTTGAAGAATTCAAGTCTTCATCCATATAAATGTTAATACAACTCAGCAGACGCTTAACTCAGATTAATTATGAGCTAGAAATAGATTTATAATGTAAATCCGTTATGAATACACATTACGTTTTATATATTTTTGTTTAATTATTCTAAAAACATCACCAGCCAATTCTAATTTTTATTAATTAACTTAGATTCCAAGTAATGTATTGTAACTATCACTATTCCAGTCATGGGAGAAATATGGGTGTCCTAACCTCTCCATACAAATATAATTATATGACAAAGATACAATTATTTTTCATTTGGAGAGGAAGTGAAAATTTTTCTTATGTATATCTTGCCAAGATAAGACCCTATTTACACCACTTGTAACTTGTAACGGGTATAGTTGTGGGAAGTTTATTCTCCCTTAAAAGTAAAAAATATTTCTTCACAACTGTATGAACTTATCACAAAATTTCACAAACTTCAGTTTCCTTAAAATATTTAAATATACATATATATTCCAGGTTATCAGTATATTACTAATGAAATTAAATTGTCAAGTTTGTATCTAATATCAATAAATATATATATAATAAGTATATGATAATTAATTATTATAATTTAAACACAACAATTAGATTGTGACAAAATAGCAATATATATATATATATATTGCATATACTTATATGGAACTAAATATTTTTACAAATTAGGTATCTGCTCAATGCCATTTAATATACACTAAATATATCTGATAAATCCCTAAATTAATATAATTATTATAAATAGTTATCCATAAATTTTAAGGGTCATGAAAATTAACTATAAAATCCTAACTTTTTAATGATATATAGTAGTTAACCAGAATAGTTCTTCTTAAATAATCATTTTAAAATGCAAGTTTTTACTCACTCATAGGCTTTATTAAAATGAAATTACTTATTTAGTATAATATAAATATTTTTTTAATAGTATATTAGTTTATTTCCACTTTATTTAAAAAATAAAACTTAGGACACAATCTGTACTCATTTTTATATATATTTTTTTTTTATTAAATTTTATTAGTTTTTTGGATTTGCTGCTATGTTTGCTTATGGTTATGATGCTCTTTTAAAATATCATGCAATTCAACGTGGAGAAATTGCGCAAGGTAATAATGTTATGCACAAACAGACTACAATTTCAACATATTAATTATTTATAAATAAAACATTAGTATCTATGATTTAAAGTAACNACATATTAATTATTTATAAATAAAACATTAGTATCTATGATTTAAAGTAACATATTCATCACACATTAATTACACTTTTTAAATACTAATTTTAATTTGTTAAATACTTTTTTTTATAGGTTTGTTATAATAATTCTCAAATTAATCACTTAGTTATATTATAATATCAAGTATTTTGAAAGAAAATTAAACTACAGATTTATTGTTGGTTTTAATTTAAATTTCAACCTTAAATAGAATAAAATATTTTAACAATTTTTGTTAATTTTACATATGCTAATAATCCAAAGCTTTTTTAATTTAATTTTAATTTGAAATTTTGATCAGAATTTCATATTTTTCACATATTATTAATTTTTTATATGATTTATTGATTGTTAAAATATAGAAATATATATATATATATATAATACTAACTTTATTACTTAGTTATCTTGTATGTTATTTTTGTTAATCATTATATTTTAAATATACTAATTAAAAATAAATTAAGTTAACTTTTGTCACTTAATATTTTATAGATCATACTAATGTAATCCATAAATTATACTAATTTAATACTTTTTTTTTGCAGTTCTTTGAATATAAGTTTATTTTTTATTGTTCTGAACTTAACAATAATATTTTAAAACTACAACTTGGTACTTACACCTTTATTTTAATGTATTGTAATTTTAAAATCGCTATACTAGTCATTTTTTATTAACTAGTGAAATCTTACTATTTACAATGTTGTCATAATATTTGGGTGTAATAGTAGTTTGCAGATTAATTTATTTTACTACTTATTTGGTAATTTTTCAAATACTTTATTAAGGGCAGGAGGTCTCCTATTATTTTTATTTAACTAGAGTTTAAAAGTTATTTAAATTTTAAAGAAATAACTTGAAAGACTATTTATAGTGTAAATGATTTAATTTAAAGTTTTCATAAATAACTGTTATTGCATAAATCCATCCCATTTGGGTAAACCAAAAGTATTTTGTATACATCAAACATATTTTACTCATAGAACTAATTTTTATCTGATTTTTATAGTTACATAAGAAAATTAACCAATAAAATTAAGTATGATTAAAAATTTGATTTAAAAACACATATTTTTATACTGGAAAATCATTTTTTAATCTTATATACAAGATGATTTTTTTATCATGAGTGTGTTATAATAAAAAAATCACTCTGTATTCCCGAAATTTACTATTGATATATTAATTTCTGATAATAATTTAAAATCAAACTATACGTTAAATTAAATTTAAAAAGAAATTAGCTAATACTTGTGCACCTTTTTTTACAATATTTATAAATATAAAAAGAAATAAATTCTATTTACAAACATCACATTTTTTTGTAAAATCACTCGATAATAGTTTAAATAATTTATTTGTTAAATAAATTTATTTTATGTATAAATTTAATCAATATATGTGAAATAACAAATTTTAATATTCATTAAACCTTGTCCGTCCTATTGTACAAAATGTAACATTGATATTAGTATTGTATTAAAGAATTAAAAACACAAAATATTTTTGTACACTTATATTTGAACTATATATATTATGTTATAAATCATAAATATAATCTTGTTATACTTAAAATAAATTTTGTAGATTATTTTTGTAACATGGTCCTTATACAAAGCAGTAGTCTGGTTGACTTAAAAAAATTTTTAACATTGGAAAATTAATAAACCAGTAATTAACGAAATAGTAACTCATAATATATATATTTTATTACTTATAGCAAACAAAAAATAACTTCAGTTTAATTCTAAATCAATAAAATAACACAGAAATTACTTGATTATAGTAGTTATAAAGAATATTTACATACATACAATATAAAATTTTTTTTTAATAAAATTCATTTTCAATTATTATATGATAAAATTATTACTTGTATAAAGTTTCTTGTCAATGCATTTATACAAAATCTTATGATTAATTCTTTAATAATATGTAACGTCACAAAAAATTATCTGAATCATAAATCAAATTAAAGTGAAAGTTACTATATGGAAAAGATGAAAATAAAAATTTATATTAAAATATATTACTAAATTATAACATCAGGTTTGAATTATACATAACTAAACAAGAAAATCGATTATAATTTTCTTGTTGTTTGCATACATTTGAACATAAATAAATCAAATTGTTCAAATCAATTATTTAAATTTTTATTTTTGAAGATGTCTTATTTTATATTCAGTGATGCTAGGTTAGAATAACTATTTCCAGGTAAAAAACGAACTTTTTCCATAATGTTTAAAATACTTTTAGTTCTAGGGTATTGTTGTAAAGTTATAAGAAAATCATTAACAGAAATTGTTTTTTTTTCAATAAAAAAATCTGTTAATTCATAGGATTCACTTAATTCTTTAGGATAGCTATTATCAGAAGTTCGTTTTATAAGGTTTTTTAAAAAAAATTTCAAAACGCTGGATATTAGTTCACATACTTCTTTTTCAACATCAAGATTAATAGTTTTATATGAAGTTGATGATCCTATAATATTAGCTATAAATTTAGTATGAATTGCTTCTTCAGTTGATTTCGGTATAAAATTATGATTAATAAATTCTGGTATTTCTGAAGGACTGGAAGGTTGACTTGGTATATATCCCAATAAATTTTTAAAAAATATATTACTTGATTCTATGGGTTCATTTAGGTATTTATACTTGGTTGGATTCCTAGCAATTTCTTCAGCTTCTTCTAAGTCTTTACTCATAATTGGTAACCAATTAACTATACTAGTAATAAATTCATTATGATATTTGATATATTCTGGTTGAATAATTTTCCGTATTTCTTGATCAAATATAGTTTTTGGCAAATTACCATCAAACCAATAACTAAGAACTTGATGGTAATAGGATTTATAGCTATCTCCTAAGATCATACATACCCTATGATATTTTTCAAGAACATTTCGATCGTCAACAAATGATTCAATTTCATCAAAATTTGAAAATGGTAACATTTTTGCACAAAATACTAATTATGCCTCTTGCTACGTTCAAATATTTGCATGACAAAAGGTAATTTCGATATACATTAGTACTTTTGAATAATAAGAAGAAAACTTTCCAATTAGATATCAATTAATTGTTAGTCATGATAATACATCTTTGATAAAAGAAAAAAACGGGTTACTACCATTTCCAGAATACCACAAATACTACTATTGTGGACTCCTCAAATTCACTACAACTTACTATTTTATAACCACTTAATGCAGTAAAATAAAAAATATTGAACTGTCTTTTAACTAAATAACTACTTATTCTAAGTCCAGAAAAAACCAAGAATTTTAATTACACACATTTAGTTATTCATATAAATTTCGTTATTTAGTTAAAATAACAAAATGATTATACGTCATAAATCGGGAAAAAACCTTTGCCACGAACTGATAATAGTCCTACATTTCAAAAAGATTACCGATATTTAAAATACTTAAATGTAAACGTAGAATTACTCACAATAATTGGCTAAGTGGATGATAGAAATAAATGACATGACTCTTCGTTATTTCACAATTAAAAGAAGGAAAAAATTTATCATATTTATAACACCTATACTCCTTCTTGTATATTCGTTCCTTATTCTATTCTCCTAGTTTTTCTACTCATCCATCTAAGCATTCTCATCTTTGCTACACTCACTCTCTATTCTACTTTCTTATCAACCGCCCAACACTCTGAACCATACATCATAGCTGGCCTTATTACAGTCTTGTAGAATTTACCTTTCAGCCTCAGTGGAATTCTTTTATCGCATAAGACGTCAGACGCTTCTCTCCACTTCAACCACCCGCTCTTAATTCTGTGTCTTGCATCCTCGTCAATACCACCACTCTTTTGTACAACTGACCCTAAATATTTAAAACTCTCCACCTCTACTATCATGTCCTCTGTCTATAATGTCACTGACCTCCTCATTTCACCTACCTCGTGTTCTCCTATGTCAAACTCGTACTTTATATACTATGTCTTAGTTCTACTTATTCTTAAACCCTTTTCTTCAAGAGCTGATCTCCACGCCTCTAGCCTTTGATTTATTTCCTCCCTATTTTCTCCTATTAACACTATATTGTCAGCAAACATCAACCTACCAAACCCAACCTGCCTCGCACAAAATACTGTCTCCATTGTTGACTTACCAGGTATAAATCCAAACTGGTTTTTAGATACCGATGTCTCATTTCTTATTCTCTTATCTATTACCTTTTCCCAAATTTTCATATTATGACTCATAAGCTTTATGCCTCTATAATTTCCACACTCCTGTATGTCACATTTACCTTTAAATATCAGCACCACAATACTATTCCTCCATTCATTTGGAATTTTCCCTTCTAATAAGATTTTATTTAAAAGTTCCTTCGACCACCTTATGCCAACACCGCCTAATATATTCCATACTTATAATTTTATCCATCACTATGGAGAATAAATAAAGGCTTCTTATTCTCTTATCTATTACATTTTCCCAATTTTTTATACTATTACTCACAAGCTATATGCCGCTATAATTTTCACAATCCTCTTTATTACCTTTACCTTTAAATATCGGCACTAGAATACTATTCCTATGGAATTTTCCCTTTTAATAAGATTTTATTTAAAAGTTCCTTCAACCACCTTATACCAACACCGCCTAATATTTTCCATACTTTTACTGGTGCTTCCATCTGGTTCTACTGCCTTATTCATTTTCATTGATACCACAGCCTCCCATAATTCTTTCTCACTAATTAAATCTACCAGTCCCTCATTTCACGGATATCCTCTAATGTCTCTTTGGGTACTCCTCATTCAGTAATTTTTTAAAATACTCTTCAACACTTATGTCAACACCTCCTAATATTTTCCATACTTCTGGTGGCACTTCATCTGGTCCCACTGCTTAATTCTTTTTCATTTATGTCACAGCCTCCCATACCTCTTTCTCACTAATTAAATCTACCAGTCCCTCATTCCATGAGATATCCTCTAATGTCTCTTGAGTACTTCACATTCAGTAATTTTTCAAAATACTAAATAATATATTTCCATCTTTTTTTCACATCATCGTCACTCGAAAGTACCTTATTATCAACACTTTTTATACACATTATATAATAATAATCTTTAGACCTTTTCTCTCTTACCTTTGCAAGTCTATAGATTTCTTTCTCGCCTTCCTTTGTTCCTAGCCTAACATACAACTCATCATACCTCTTAAACTTCGTCTTACTTACTGCACACATGGCTTCTTTGCACAAGAACTCCATCCAATCTTCTCTCCTTTTTCTCTTCTGCCATATTTCTACTATTACATATAGCCATATGTCATTTATTTTTATTAGACACGTCGCATATTTTTGGTACCACGTTTAAAGGCGAGTTCCATTGACTATTTGACTTTTTAATGCTACCTTGCTTTAAAAGATTTTTTAACTGTTTATCAACTTCTTCTTTATGACACATAGGGTATTTGATTATTTTATATTAATTGGATGAGTATTGGGAGTAATTATTTTATGTACAATTTGATTAGTATAACATAATTTATCACAGGGTAAAATTAATATATCATTAAATTGATTGCATAAATTATTAATAGACGACTTTTCTTTGCCGTTTAAATGATTTAATTTAAGGTATTGATTTAAAACAGTTAATTCAGGGCCGTACCTAGAATTTTGTTTTTGGGGTGGTTTTAATTTTTTGATGTTAGTATTAAATTTACAATTATATCATTAAAATTAGTAGGTATAAAATAAACTAAAAAATAAAAGTTTATTCATAAAAACCCATATTATTTTAATACTACTGTCAAATATTAAAAACACATTTGAAGACTTAATCTTATAAAAACAAAATTATATTTCACCGTGACTGTAGTGAACTATAATATATAATTTTTACTTCATGAAAAAAATAAGGTTAAGAATATAAAAAGTCAATTTGGAGGTGGTTTGAACCCCCAAAACCACTCTTGAGGTACGCCCCTGAGTTAATATATTATAATTATTAGTGTTATTAATTAGTGTTAACATTATTACAATTGATATTATTTACATTATTATTTATGAGCACAAAATCTTGTGGAAAAAATCAAATTTAATATTATTTATAGAAATCGAAACATATTTTTCTTATGTGCTTAAAATAGATACGATCGCATAATTATCTTTGATTTGTGTTATACAACTTCCAATAAAAACGTTTTTGTTAATTACTATAAGATCATATATAATTCTAGTTGTATGATTAGTATGGGTCGTTTTTACTTTAATGATAGATTCTGACAAGTCTAATTTCGTAAATTCATGTGACCCTAAAAACTTAACATGATTAAAAATAAATTTAGCATTTTGTGAGGGGTCTAGAACATTTCGTTGACACACTTTTTTTTTTTTATTATTCTCGACCGGCTTATTGTGAGACGCCCTAGAACTGCTGTTAGGCATTACTTCAGGGCGGCCCACGCCGTCTTAATAATTCACACCACTATGTTGTGAATCAGCCCGAAATTAATCAAGAGCTGATTCGCAACGTGATGCGGCCCCTTCTCGCTAATCGGATCCCAGAGTGGGAATCGTTAGGGAGGGTTGGCAAAATAACTCAAAAACAATAACAAGAACCTAAGACACCGGCCTAAACCAGCGCCTCAGGTCCTTCTGTGTAGGGCGGCGTGGCTGCCTCTATCTCAGACGTTCCGCTTCCTCCTTCTATAACAAGATGGATTCGGCGAACGCCTGGACGGCCTCCACGCCTCCCGGCTCCTCAACATCAGGTTTATCATGGACCCGACTCGGAACGTGGACCCTAGTCCCGCTCCTGAGCCCACGCCTCGCACAGGAAGAGGGTGTGCAGAGCGCTATCAGCCTCTGCAATCAGAGGTCCATGCGATCCGAACTGTGGTTTCACGTCGGCGCGGGTGCTTTACGAATACGGTGCAAGTACTCGTTATAGCAGCCGTGAACGGACATCACTTAGGTGACACGATAAGTCATTTCACCGTGAGTCCGGTCCACACAAATCCAGCCGATCGGGTCCTGTGAGGGACCTGGTCCACTCGCCTCTTGTCGTTTCCTCCGAGAGGCGAGTCCGCCACCGGAGCATGGTTATCCGCTTGAGCGCCAGCCGTTGGGGCGACTTTCTGAAAATAACCCCGAATTTTGGATAGCTTATTAATCGATGGCTATTGATCGCGGAGATACCGAGTTTGCGGTGGTAATTTTAGTTTTAAGTCCCTTAAGTAGTACGCGGTAAAATTAAGACCTCATCTTCGCATCGAAGCTAAAAAACATTACAATAATAATATTATTTCCTTTACACTCAGAGAAAAACCTCGATCTATATAATAAATTCATCGTTCAATTTGATAAATATATCATTACTATTGAACCTATGATATATTTATCAATATGATAGAGAAAAATTGTAGTGGTTTGTTTATCATTATAACAATGATGATATTATTGAAATAATGAAATACTCTATCAATATAATAAGTATAACTTTGTCATATTGATAAATTCATCGTACATATGACGAATTATTATTGTATATCTAAATCACTTTGATAAATAATTTTTCATGGTGATGAAATAATTTTTAAAGAATTAAGTAAATTTTTTTCAATATGATAATGAATTTTTATTAAATTAACATACCAGTGTACAAATAAAATCCCATATTAAATTATAAATTTAATCTTAATTATGGTAATAATTTACTTAAATAAACACGTTATTTAATATATATATTGTGTAGTATTTATAATATTAAAAATAATTTAATGAACAACTTTTAATTTTTCAATAGTAAATTATAAATAAAACCTTTACACATGTGTATTTAAATAGACATATGGAATATAAACTGAAACGGCGTATTTATCACCTTTTATTTTTAATGAATTTTAAGAAAGCTTACAATCTGTTTATAGTATAAACTTTATACATTGGATGTAAAATTAATTTTAAATAATCAAATAAAAATTAATAATTTACAAATAATTAATACAAATGAAAAGAAGAAAAATATAAAGTGAAAAAATAAAAGGATTTTTCAATATAATATTAATATAATAATATTATTTTACTATTTTGTTGAGATCATGTAGCACTTGTTTTACTGTTTGATGGGAGTAGTCGTTCTTTAAAAATAATTTGTAGTAATATTGTTGAATAAATGTCCAGACAGCGCATGATGGAAGTGGGTATTCTAAATTAAAAACATGGAATATCTTAAAGCAGACATCCACTGCTCTTATTATTGAAAAAATTTTATACTTGATGGCATCAAAATATAATAATATATCTCGTGGTTTTAAAATCGTGCCAATAATTAAAATGAATGGTTGTATTGGCTGATTTCTACTTTGTAGTAATGCGATATAAGCTTCAGCTTGGTCAACTGTCTCGTGGAAACTAATTAATGAATTTTGAGAGTCCTTTATAGAATATTTAATGATATTTTTTTTTCCATTTTCATCTCTCGTCACTTTTCTCGACGTTGGCACGAAAAGCGAGCTTAATAGATAGAAGAATGCTGTATTTTTTCCACCTGACCAAGAAAATAATTAATTTAATGCTAAAATATCCTTTTATTAAACTGCTAAAATATTTTGATTTATATTTATAATAAAGTATTATTACTTTGACAAATGTCTGATCTTTGAGAAAGCTGTTCTACAAGTATTTTGCTATCTCGGTCTTTATTGTGTTTTTCTATAATATTCATAATATCTTGGTAAGAATCATCAAATGAATCGACCATCATACTATTATATTTGATAAGTTGTTTAAAGTCAATATCCACCTACAAAAATGTAATCCTTAAATTTAATTATTTTATGTATAAGCAATACATTTTACATACGAGTTTATATCCAAGGGGTAATCTATAACTAGCCCATTCATTTATTATTTCGTTTGTTTCTTTAGCCTCTCTAATCTTTTTAAGTCTAAAATTGACAGTAGCACCCCAATACTCTTGTAACTTCGTAAATGG